CCTCGCAACCTCTTTGCCCCCAAGCCGCCTCCCCTCCCCACAGGCCGCCTACAAGGGCGGGGCGGCGGTTCCCCTGCCGGCAGAGTTCCTCAGCGAGGTTGAGACGATGATGGCGGAGCATGAGGTGCCGGGGCTGAGCCTCTCGGTGATTCACAACTACGAGGTGGTTGAGACGGCGCAGCTGGGCGTGCTCGTCAAGGGGGAGGAGAAGAAGGTGGACAAGCTGACGCGCTTCCAGGTGTTTCCCGCATGATCGAGCCGCTAACCGTGAATCGTTCCTCACGCTGTGGGCCTGAATAGGCGTGCTCTCTCAGCAAGCCTCCGACGGACATCGCGCTGCTCCAGTTCGTGCAGCAGGGAGCGCTCAGCCTCGACGAGCCGGCGAACGAGGGGCTCAAGTCTTGGCAGATCCCGGACGGTCCCTACACCAAGGGCGGCGCGATCCCAGTGCGCCGACTGCTCACCCACTCGGCTGGGCTGAGCGCGGGCTTCTACCCTGGCTATCTCCGCGGTAGCCCCATCCCACCGTCGACCACGTCGGTACTGGAGGGCGGCACGGCCCCCGATGGCACAGTCATCACCTCGGAGGCGGTGCGGCCCATCCTGGAGATGGGCAAGCAGTGGTGCTACAGCGGGGGCGACGCGCGTTGATCATGAGGGCCAACCCTCGGCTGCATCCCGGCATGACCTCGTGTCTCTGGGGCGTAGGTTCGCTCATGGTTGTGAAGGAGCTGCTGGAGGACCTCGATCCGCTCGCCAAGGAGGACTTTGCCGCCTTCATGGCCAAGAAGGTGCTCGGACCGCTCGGAATGAACCGCAGCACGTACGTCGCGCCGTACCCCGAGGCCGACCTCGTCAACACGGCCATGGGCCATCCGTGGGATCCGCGGGGCTCGTTCAAGGAGTACCCCTCCCAGTCGGTGGCGGGGCTGTGGACGACGGCCGAGGACCTCGCCAAGGGCATGATCGTGATGCAGAAGCTCCTCGCGGGCGACCCGAGCGCGCCGCCGGTGCTCAGCCCCGACCTCGCCAAGGAGATGTTTACGCCTCAGGAGACGGGCACCGACCCGTGCGTCGACAAGATTCCACACTTCCACGCCAAGCAGGGGCTCGGCTACCTCCTCGAGGGCGGGAATTGTGGCGTGGAGCGCTTCTGGCACTGGGGCGACAACCCGGGCTACAAGGCGCTGCAAGTGGGTACCCTCGAGGGCGGGTACGGCGCGGTCGTCCTGACCAACTCGGACCGCGGGGTCGAGATCACGCGGCCAGTCGTGGAGAAGATCGCCGCACTGCAGGGCTGGAGCATGACGCCCCCTGTGGTGATGTGAGCTTGACGCCGCTGGTGGGAAAGGTGACTCCGGGCCAGCGGCCGGTGCGGTGGGGCTGGGGCTGCCACCAGCACCAGCGGGCACTCCCGCGGCCGCACCGCGCGCCCAGGGCGTGGCGGAGCCCTGTGGCGTGCGTGGTGGAGCTCGCGGGGTGAGTCTGAGTGCGGGGGCGCCGCCGCCGCGCCCGTCGGAGTACGGAGGTCTCGCGCGGTGGGGGGAGCAGGGGCGGAAGCTCGTCTGGTGTCGTTCTGGACACTGGATTGACTGGGGACCAGGAGAGACGTCCCGACAGGGAGAGACACTGCAGCCCGAGGTTGCGGTCCAACGGCCTGGCGCGTGGCACCTCTGCAGGCTGCACACTTGTTTTGAGAGAGAGAGACAGTTCTCTCCTGGGTCCTGCAGATTATCTGACGCGCAGGGCCACGTCCCCACGCGCACGAAACTCTACTCGTGTCCACACACAAGCGTCAAGCGATTCGAGTACTCTCCGGTCACGCGGTCCTCCGCAAAATAATTTGTCCAACGTGCACAACGAACGGACGCGGGACGGGGTCGGGGATCGGGGGGCGAGAAAAAGACAAAAGTCGAAAAGAGTGAAAATAAATAAATAAATAAAACGGACACCTCTCTACTGTGAGATGGGTAAAAAGGAGCAGGTCCCCGCCCGTGCGAAAAGAGTGAACAAAAAATATGAGCGCAGTAATTTAGCCCATGGTCCACAACCATGTTCCGGTAGCGCGAGCGCAGACGGGGACGGCGATCAGCAAAGTAGCCCAGGCGGCACCCGACTCCAAGGATACGCTGAAGACGCTGAGGATAGCGCATGTCGCTGCGCTGAAGGGCTCACGCTATAGGGTGCTGGAGGAGGACGGGTACGATGCACTAGCCCCAGCCGTCGGGGGGGTGTTGCCGGCGCTGGTAGATGATCTCTCGGAGAAGAGCCGGAGGGACCTTGGCGCCGGGGTCACGAGGAACTTGCAAGTCGTGGCCGAGGCGGCGACGGGCGCGGTGCAGAGGTGGATCCAGCTCAATGACGAGGCTACGGCGCGCATAATGAAGAGAGAGGAACACATTGAGTGGCTGAGGAAGCTCTTCACTGGGTGGAAAGAGGCTCGGCCGGCCTTGAGGGAGTCGCAGAGGAGGAGGGATAACGCAGGCAACGCAGGGACGGGCCAACAGCCAGTGGGACGAACGAGGGCCGCGACGGCGGCTCAAGCGGGAGGGAGCGGAGACGGTGGGCAGCGAGCGAAGTGGGTGAGACTGATGATGCTCCTTCGACTTAGGGAGCGGTTCAGCTGCTGGGCGGGCTTCAGGCTGGATGGTGCTCACGCGAAAAGGAATCGACGCGATGTGCAAAGCATACAAGAAGGGGAGAAGGAAGAGGAGAGACGCCAGTGATGACGAAGCAGAAACTAGCGCAGACGAGAGCAGGGCAGAGCCGGGGACTGGGGAGCCGGAGCAGACGGCATCGGCCGCCGAGGGAACGTTAGGAAGAGGCACGAGGAGGGCGGCGACCTTAACCGACTATGGAGGACCCGTCGCCAGACGACGCAGGGCAGAAGACGGTGAGGCGGAGCAGACGCGCAGGGCGAGACGAGGGAGGGAGCAGGACTTTGCGGAGATCAGCAGGAGGATGTACGAAGAGATTAGGAGCAGCAGGGACCCGAGGGACCATGTGGAAGACGGCTAGTGCTAGTCCCCCATCGGGAGGACGACCCCGGCTAGTCGCCGACCACACCCACAAAGAACCCTGCACAAAGATCGCAAGGGCGGGGGCCTGTTCCTTTTTACCCATCTCACAGTAGAGAGGTGTCCGTTTTTATTTATTTATTTATTTATGTTCCGGTAGCGCGAGCGCAGACGGGGACGGCGATCAGCAAAGTAGCCCAGGCGGCACCCGACTCCAAGGATACGCTGAAGACGCTGAGGATAGCGCATGTCGCTGCGCTGAAGGGCTCACGCTATAGGGTGCTGGAGGAGGACGGGTACGATGCACTAGCCCCAGCCGTCGGGGGGGTGTTGCCGGCGCTGGTAGATGATCTCTCGGAGAAGAGCCGGAGGGACCTTGGCGCCGGGGTCACGAGGAACTTGCAAGTCGTGGCCGAGGCGGCGACGGGCGCGGTGCAGAGGTGGATCCAGCTCAATGATGAGGCTACGGCGCGCATAATGAAGAGAGAGGAACACATTGAGTGGCTGAGGAAGCTCTTCACTGGGTGGAAAGAGGCTCGGCCGGCCTTGAGGGAGTCGCAGAGGAGGGATAACACAGGCAACGCAGGGACGGGCCAACAGCCAGTGGGACGAACGAGGGCCGCGACGGCGGCTCAAGCGGGAGGGAGCGGAGACGGTGGGCAGCGAGCGAAGTGGGTGAGACTGATGATGCTCCTTCGACTTAGGGAGCGGTTCAGATGCTGGGCGGGCTTCAGGCTGGTGCTCACGCGAAAAGGAATCGACGCGATGTGCAAAGCATACAAGAAGGGGAGAAGGAAGAGGAGAGACGCCGGTGAGGACGAGGCAGAGACTAGCGCAGACGAGAGCAGGGCAGAGCCGGGGACTGGGGAGCCGGAGCAGACGGCATCGGCCGCCGAGGGAACGTTGGGAAGAGGCACGAGGAGGGCGGCGACCTCGACCGACTATGGAGGACCCGTCGCCAGACGACGCAGGGCAGAAGACGGTGAGGCGGAGCAGACGCGCAGGGCGAGACGAGGGAGGGAGCAGGATGTTGCGGAGATCAGCAGGAGGATGTACGAAGAGATTAGGAGCAGCAGGGACCCGAGGGACCATGTGGAAGACGGCTAGTGCTAGTCCCCCATCGGGAGGACGACCCCGGCTAGTCGCCGACCACACCCACAAAGAACCCCTCGACGGGTCTCCCGAATCGGGCCGGTCCTTCGTACACCCCATACGACACAACTGGTCGCGGCACGAACCTATCCCCCACCCACTTGTTTGGCATGTCTCTCCCTCCATCCGTCGCAGCGAGGTGCGTGAATGGCCGCGCTCTGTGTAGCGCGAGGCATATCCTGGCCACCTCCGCGTTGAGCTCACGGCCCTTCTCCGAGCCGAGCGGCTCTTTATCCTTGCCCATCATGACCTGCGTCCCGTTTCTGTCGGACAGCGCCCGTGTCCCGACCTCAAATTCGTCCCACCGCAGTAGGAAGCGCGTAAGCGGATCCTCCTGGAGTTCGGCGTCTCTTACCCACGCGCCGTGCCTCGGGGGCGAGCCCTCCATCTCTCCCAGCCCCGGCACTACCCCTCCCACCTCCTCGCGTGTCGCCAGTTGCGGTCTCGCTACTCCGCTCGGAGGCTCTTGCTCTTTCAGCTCGCACGGCTGCCGGTATCCGAGCGCCTCCTCACTCGCCCTCGCCATCTGTTCCGCCACGTCGCCGGCGTCACTCCCTCTCTTGACCGCTACGACTATACCGTCGTGCTGCAACGACAGCACTGCGTGGCCGTTGCGCGCGGCCCAACGCACCTTCGCCCTTCGGCTGATACTCTCCGCCTCCTGAAAGGCGAACGATTTGACTGTGCGTTCCGGGTGCCCCTTCCCTGGCTTGTGGTGTGCAAGCCAATCCGTTCCTAAAACGTTATTCTACTTTTTCTGGTGCGCTCACTCTTTTACACACATGTGCTTTCACGCTCAGGTCGATACTCCAAATAATATGCTCTAGACCCTCAATCCGAGTCTGACCCGCTATCGCTACCGCTCTCGCCGTCGCGCCGCCGCCGCCGCTCCTTCTTCTCCCGCTTGCGCTGCTTCTTCTCCTTCTTCTCTCGCTTCCGCTTCTCCTTGCGCCCGCCGCCCTCGCCGCCGCCCTCGCCGCCGCCCTCTCGCCCCGCGAGCTCCTTGCGGTACATCTTGAGGAGCTGCCGCTGCTGCTTCTCGCTCAGCGTCGCGAGGAGCTCCGGGTCGAGCTCGCTCAGCCCCGGCTCACCGCTCCCCGCCTGCAAGGCCGCTGCCTCCTCCATGTCGCCCAGCACGTACTGCTGGTTCGCGTCCTGGGCGCTCACGCCCGCGCCGAGCCCGCCCGCGCCGCGGTCGCCCTTGATCTCCCAGCGCAGCTCGGCGCCCGAGGCCTCCGAGCCGTGCAGCCGCCCCACCGGGTCGAGCCGCGCCCTCGCGTCCACCTCGCCCGCCGTCAGCTCGTTGCGCTTCGGGCACTCGCGGTCGCCGACCGAGTGGCCCCACTGGCCGCACGCGCGGCACTGCACGTTGTTGAGCTTGACGCCAAACGGCTGGTGCTGGACCTCGTTGACGAGCTCATGCACGCCCGCGCGCGGCGCGTCCTTGAGGAGCGGGAAGCGCTCGGCCTCCTTGTCGGCAGGCCTTTCCACCTTTTTGCGCTGCGACGCCTCTGCCAGCCCGGGAGGCTTCTGGTACATGAAGTCCATCGACGCGGGCGGCTCCTTGTTCACCTCGCCGCGCCGCGCCGCCATGAGCGAGCGGGCGTGGCGGCGCGACTCCTCCATCGCATGCTCCCGCGCGAGCTCATTCTTCTTCTCCGCCTCGAGCCGCTTCTTCTCCTCCGCCTTCCAGAGCTTCGCCACGTTCTGCGGCGCGCTCGGGTGGAAGCTCTTCTTCCCGAGGAAGTTGAGCGACATGAGCGCGCGGCCTAAAACAGCAGAAACAAAGTACGCTAAATTCCTGGCCCGCTGGATGCGCTTCTCAGCTCACCGGCCCTGGATGTGAGGTTACTGACTGCACTCCAAGTGCTCCAAGTGCTTGCGGGACGGCACGCCGCCACCACATAGATCGTCCTTACAAGATCCTGCTCGTGCAGGTGGGGACCCTGTCCTTCTCCCACCCCTCGTTTGGCGTGTCCGTTGTATTTATTTATTTATTTATTTACCACATAGAGCAGGCCGGCTGCGGCTCCTGATGTACCTCCGCTTTTGGGTGGCGGTCGCGCGCTGCCGACGGCGCTCGCCGGCGCTACGGCGCTCGCGGCGCGCTCGTGGCGTTCAGGGCGGCTCGCACACGCACACGCACACGCACACACACACACACACACACACACACACACACACACACACACACACACACACACACACACACACACACACACATGCACAGACACACAGCCCCTTCCCCTCCCCCCTCAAGGGCGAGGACACGCACAGGCCGCACCTCTAGTGAGGCCCGCATAGTATGTGGGAGACTCGTGCCGCCGCCCCTGCCACCCCTGTGTCAGTGTGCCTGTGGTAGGAGAGACTGCCAGCGACAAGCTGGAGGCAGGTCGCTAGACTGAGATGAGACCGCCAGTGGATGTGGGAGTCCACCGCGCACCGCGCTGCGAGCCTGTCGTGTCCCTTGTCAGGAGCAGGAGAGCCCCACCTGTCCCCCTGATCGTTCTTCCAAAATCCTGCTCGTGCAGGTGGGGACCCTGTCCTCGTCCCATCCCTCGTTTGGCGTGTCTGTTTTCTTTTCTTTTTTACCACACAGGACCGGCGCGCGGCCTGGAAGGGAGAATTATCCCATCCTGACGGTGTGGCGCCTCATTTTCTCTTTTTTGGTCTGCGGCTCTCGCATGACCGACGACGTCGTGGAGGTCCGCGTGCGGGAGAAGATCCCGCTCCGGTGCTGCGTGCTTGTTCGCCGCATGCAGCAGCCTTGCCGCGGCCCCGGCTGCAGCCACGCGGCGGCATTCTGCTACATGGCGCTCGACAGCTGCGCCGCCGGGCCGCCGCGGCGAGTCCGCTGCCCGATCTGCGAGAAGGAGTTCGACCGCGACGCTGTTGCGCTCGACGTGCCGCTGACCATGCTCCTCATGAAGCACCCGTCCGCCTCGCACGCCTATGCCGCCCGGAGTCGGGACGGTGAGTGGCGGTACAAGGCGGCGGGCGGTGCGCCGGCCGCCGTGGACCTCGACCGCGGCAGTGGCAGCCGGCGCCGGCGCGGCGCGTCGGACAGCGGCGACGAGTCACGGCAGCGCAGGCGGGAGGGCGAGCGTCAGTGCAGGGGGGAGGAGGGCGGGCGGGAGGGCGGGCGGGAGGCCAAGCGGGAGGGCCGCTCGGACCGAGGCTCGACCACGGGGCCAGCGGCGCCGCGCCGGCCCATGCTGCCGAGGAGCTTGGCTCCGAGAGAGCGGCCGCCTGCGCCGGGGGCGCGCCTGCCCGTCAAGCTGACGCCGGTGCAGAAGGCGGAGGGCCGTGCCGCGAGGAAGCTGGCGGCGCAGCGGGCTCGCTTCCTTGAGGCAGCGCGGGCGGAGCTCATTCGGCGAGCGCTGCACGAGGAGCCGCAACCCGGCGGGTCGGCGGAGGGTTGGTCGGTGGGATGAGCCATGATGCGCGCGTGCAAACACACCTCTAAAAAAATTGCTTAGCGCGAAAAACAGGCACACCCCAAAGCCCAATCTCCCCCCCGGCTTCTCCTCTCTCTAGACACATATATCCCCCCTTTTAGAGCGGCCAGGATCCACACCCCCCTGCCCTGCCGGCTGCGGGATCGCGTACTAAGTAGGCTCCACACTAGCGTCGCTGGGGGTTCCCTGCCCTAGTTGGGAAGCTGGCCGTTTATCTCCGAGGGTTAGCTCCGCGCTCCAGGTTTCCCCTAGCAGCAGAACGCCCCCTCTACTCGGAGCTAGTAAACACTCGACACGGACTCAACGCCCACCCACACCCGGCGCCTCACCACTCCGGACCCCTCTTCGTGGTCTCCCAACTTTCACTCCGGGGCGTCTTCCCCCACCTCTCGGTCCTTCCTTCTGGTCGCATCCCGATAGTTGTGCGACGGGCGCGGGGCCCGAAAGAAAGAAAAGAAAGAAAACGGACAACCCAATGGAGGGATGGGAGGACGGCACGCCGCCACCACACAGGGATTTTAAGGAGAGGTGTGTGATGCGCTAGCCGTCGCCCACCCTAGGGAGTCTGCCTCTTCCTATCTCTCTTCGCAGTCTCTCGCCGCTTCTCGCTGCAACCTTCATGCCACCTCGCGGTCGTCCCACTCTCGTCGTTCTCTCCCTTGTCATTTCCTCCTCTGTCGCGTCGTTCTCTTCTGCCTCGTCCTGCGACGCCGCCGTCTGCCGGTCCCTTGTTCTCGCGGCTTCTTTCGCGGGGCCCGACCTCCCCTCCGAGGGATTTTTTCTTTTCTTTTTAGGTGTGCCGGTGATAGTACTAGCACGCGCCAGTTCGCACCTGTGTCGAGCCTGTGTGCTAAAAAGAAAGAAAGAAAACAGACAACCCAAGGGAGGGATGGGAGGACGGCACGCCGCCACCACACAGGGATTTTAAGGAGAGGAGTGTGATGCGCTAGCCGTCGCCCACCCTAGGGAGTCTGCCTCTTCCTATCTCTTTTCGCAGTCTCTCGCCGATTCTCGCTGCAACCTGAGCCTGTGTGCTGTGAGAGAGAGTTGTTTTGTTAATTCTTTTTAGGTTTTGCACAACTGTATGCCGGCGCCCGCCAGCCCGTTGTCAGCGAGCCCGTTTGCACCCCACCTCTATCACGACCACATCGCCGATGCCATCCACGCGGTCAGACACACGACACCAGCGCCAGGGCTGCCGGCCGGCGGCCTATGGCTGCAGACGCTCCAGGACGCTGTTCGCGGCGCGGGCTGCACCGAGTCGGTGCACAATTGGACGGTGTGCGCCGGACGAGGCGAGGCGATCCAGGCGCTGGACGATCCCGTCGCGTGCGAGGGTCCGCTGGAGGCGCGCGGCGCCGCCGCTGGAGCACTGGTCCGTTGGAGCACCGGCCTCGACCTGCGGCTGGGCTCAGGGCCGAGGTGGGCCCGCTGCCCGGGCGGGCGTGTGCGGCCGGTGCTGACGGCGCACTACCTGGAGGAGGGACGCGGAAGCTGCGCCTCCTCTGGTCCCTGGCTGCTGCGCGTCCATCACTACTGCGAGGACCCGCTCCTCGCCCCGCCATCACCACCGCCCGGAGGAGGAGCAGGCGGCGGTAGCGGTGGTGGCGGTGGCGGTGGTGTCGGCGGAGCTGGAGGCGGCGGCCTCCATCTCGCGGGCGTGATGCACGGCGCGCGGACGACGGCGGGCGCTGCCCCGCGCGGACGCGCCTCGTCAGCCTTCCTCGACACCGCGCCGCTCTCCACGAGCGCCTCGCGCCGGCTGTTTGAGCAGTCGGATCCGCTGCGCTGCCAGCTCGAGGCGTTGAGACCAGCACACGCACACACGCACACACGCACGCACGCACGCACGCACGCACACACGCACACACGCACACACGCACGCACGCACACACGCACACACGCACACACGCACACACGCACACACGCACACACGCACGCACGCACACACGCACACACGCACACACGCACGCACGCACACACGCACACACGCACGCACGCACGCACGCACACACGCACACACGCACGCACGCACGCACGCACACACGCACACACGCACACACGCACACACGCTCGCACGCACACACGCACACACGCACACACGCACACACGCACGCACGCACGCACGCACGCACGCACGCACGCACACAGGCACACACGCACACAGGCACACACGCGCACACGTACACACGCAAACACGCACACACACACACACACACACACACACACACACGCGCGCGCGCGCGCGCGCGCGCGCGCGCACCGGGTTTTGCACTTGCTTTGCCGTGGGGCTCCTGCCTTTGGACGTGGAGATGCCGGTGGATAGCCCATGCCTTCTCGGAATCTTCTCGGAACCCCTCCGAGCCTTCCCCAAACCTCAGGCCTTCCTTCCCACGCCGGCGCTCTGTCGAGACGCGGCGGTGAGCGGGCGCGGCGCCGCGCGGCTCGAGGCGCTGCTCGCGTCGCTCGACGCGTCGCGCACCTCCGGCTTCTCTGCGAGCGGAGAGGAGGAGGAGGGGGCGGCGTCCCGCGGCAAGGAGGCGACGTACGGAGAGCTCTCCGCCGAGGGGATGGTGCAGCTGTTGACCGGATGGCCGGACCCCTTCCCCCTCGGCGCAGCCTCCCTGCTCGTCGACGTCGGAAGCGGCGTCGGCAAGCTGCTCCTCGCGCGGCGGCGCGGCAGAGGGGAACCGTCCGCGAGCCTTCTCGGAGCTCTCCCCGCAGGCAAGCTGCTCTTCGCGGCCGCGCTGCTCACGCAGTCGCGCGGGCGAGGCGTCGAGTACGTCGAGGCGCGCGCCGCCCTCGCGGAGCGGGCCCTGGCGGCGGCGGCGCGCGACGGCTTCCTGACCGCCGACGAGGCGGCGCGCGTCGAGCTGCTCCACGCCGACGGCACGGCGCCGGGGGTGCTGCAGGGCGCGACGCACGTCTACATGGCGAACTTGTGCTTCCCGGACGAGCTCAACGTGGCGATGGTGGCGGCGCTCGCCGCGCTGCCGACGCTGCGCTGCGTGGCGACGCTGCGCAGGCTGCCGCTCGAGGAGGCGTGGCCCGACGACGCGGCCGCCTGCTCGCTGGCGGCCGTCGAGGAGCGGCCAGTCGGCATGAGTTGGGCGGACAATGTGGGGGTGACGTACTACTGCTGCGAAAAGGAGACGTAGATCGTAGTGCCGCACGTTTCCAAAGGGATTGCCAAAGCGTGTTTTGCCGTTCCGGCCTTCCGGTTCCGCCCGGTGTCCGGTGTACGTTTCGTACAATCAAGCTAGGGACTGTGCAGCGAGCTCCACCCCTCCCTCTCCCACAAAAGCGTCCTCTCACTCTTCCCCTTTTCAGCGGTGACGATCGCGGAGCCCCCATGAACAGACAAGACCCACGGGACAGCGAGCTCACCCCCCCCCCCTCCTCCCTGCACCCACCTTCTTCACCCAGCACATGCCTCTTCATACTTCAACCACGATCCGTACGCCGGCGCCAGTAGCAGTACTGTACTTGGATGTTGTCCTTGCGCGCGGCTAGTCGGCATCCCCCTTGGCCCTCGCGGCGGCCGCTGACGCACGCCTCGCCTTGGCGGCAGCCAGTGCCGCCTCTGCTGCCTCCGCCACCTCTGCCGCCGCAGCCGCAGCCACCGCCGCCGCAGCCGCCGCAGCAGCCGCTGCCGCGGCGGCCGCCTCCTCCTCTGCCGCTGCCAGAGCGTCCGCCTCGGCTTCAGCCTCCCGGCGCGCCTCCGCTGCCACCATTGCTGCCTCCTCACCCGCCTCTGCCGTCTCCTCCTCGCTCGCTTCGCCAGCCGCCTCGGCCTCCTCTCCCAACGCCTCCGCCAGCCCCGCGACCGACGTCTCCGCCGTGATGCCGTACCGAATCCGCTCCTCGTGGAGCGTCTCGAGAAGCCTGATCAACCCCTCCCTGTCCAGCTTCGCGGGCTTGGCTGCAGCTGCCTCTGGCGCCGCCTCGGGATCCTGCGACGGCCCAGCGCCGCCGCCCCCGCCGCCCTTCTTCTTCTTCTTGCCCTTCTTGCCCTTGCCGCGCTTCTCCGCCTCGACCTCCGCCAGCAGCTCCTCGGCATGCCGCGCCGCCTCCGCCTCCGCCGCCGCCCGCTCCGCCGCCCTCTCCGCCGCCCCCGCAGCCCACGCCGCCTCTTTCGCCGCCTTCTCGGCCGCCGCCTTGGCCGCCGCATGCTCCTCGAGGGCGCGCACGCACTCGTCGTTGCCCTCCTTCTTGGCGATCCACAGCGCCGTGAGTCCAGCCGCCGTGCGCAGTTCCGTGTCGGCGCCCGCCCGCAGCAGGCAGAGTACGGCCGCGGGCTAGTTCTGGAGGGCGGCGCGCATCAGCGCGGTGACGCCGGCATTGTGTTGCTGGTTGATGTCCGCGCCATGCTGCAGCAGCAGCTCGACCACCCGCTCGTGGCCTTCCTGGGCGGCCCACATCAGCGCGGTGCTGCCGACGCTGTTCTGCAGGTTGACCTCCGCCCCGTGATGCAGCAGCAGCTTGACCACCCGCTTGTGGCCGTTGAGGGCGGCAAGCATCAGCGCGGTGCCACCCTTGCTGTTCTGAAGGTCGACCGAAGCGCCACGCTGCAGCAACGCCACGGCCAGCCGCTCGTAGCCGCAGAGGGCGGCGACCATCAGCAGCGTAAAGCCGCTCAGACCCTCATGAGTGAATGTCGCGTCCACCCGCCGCCGTCGAGCCATGTCAGCACCGCCTCGTCGTCTTGCCAAGCCGCCTCCACGATCTCCTCGGGGACGGCGTCCTCGTCCGTTCCGCTCTCCACGCCGCCAGAAAAGGGCGCGGCAGTTGGTGCCGCCGCCGCCCCCTTGCCTGGCGGGTGCCACCTTGCCGTTCGGCTGCTTGAGCTTGCGGCTTTCCCGCCCTGGCTTGCCGCCAGCCGCCGCGCCGCCCTCTCCAAGGAGTGTGTCCGAGGCCGCCACGCTCGAGTCGGGGGGTTCCGCCTCCTCTAGCGCAGCTGTGACGGCGATGTTGGTGGTAGTGACGGCGGCGGTGGAGGAGGCGGCGGCGGAGGCGGCGGCGGAGCGGTACGGCGTGCCATCTCTCTGTGGCTTTCGGCTGCGTTTTGCTCGTGCTTTGCCAGTGACGGGTGTCGGCATGCTCAGGCAGGTGCCAGTATCGGCGGCGCGAGAGCGCAGGCTCTCCTCAGCGGAGAAGTCGCAACCGACCGATATGCGAGTGCCCGTCGCAGTGAACGTGCGTCCTTCACAAAGGTCAGCTTCTGCTCTGGACCCCGCGGCCCTCGGGAGCAGCACGCCGCCATTCCCACAGGCGAGCGTACCGGTTTTTCTTCTGGTGTACTATCGCGTGGGTTTTCTTGTTTTTGGCGATCGCCTCGCGCTCTCGGTGCTGTCGCGCGCTCTCTTCGCCCAGATATGCTTCTCGCCAGCCTATCCCTCGCCGCCTGGCAGCCGCCGCTTGCGCCTGCTCGGCCGCGCTGCAGCCCTGTCGTTGGTATGAGCGCCGGCGGCGGCGGCGGGGAGGCTGCGACGCCGGACGAGCTCATTGGCGGTGCGCCGCTGCTGGTATTCGCGGCGGAGGCGTGCCCGTATTGCCTCGAGTTGCGCCGCGAGCTCGCCTCCGCCGGGCTGGAGCCGGAGGTGCACATGCTCGATGCGAGCGGCCGGGAGGCGCTGCGGCAGAGGACGGGCCAGCGGACGGTGCCGTACGTCTTTGTGGGCGAGCGGTTCGTGGGAGGGTGCAACGACGGTCCCGAGCCGTGGATGGGGGCGATGCCTCTCCTTCGCAGCGGCGCGCTGCAGCAGCTGCTCGACTCTGGATCGCTCCCGGCCGACGCCGCGGCGCTGCAGGCCACGGCGCGCACGCCCGTGCCGCGGCGGAATGTAGCGCTCGCGGCTGGGTCGGCTCTGGCCGCGGCCTCGCTCTACGCGTACCAGCGTTTCGACCCGCTCGACCCGGTCACGCTGCTTCGCAAGCTCGAGGCGGAGTCGCCGCCGCTGCCGCAGGCGCGCGCTGCCGGCCGCGGCTGCCTCTCGGCCACCTCTCGGCCACCTCTCGGCCACCTCTCGGCTGCCTCTCTCTCGGCTGCCTCTCGGCCACCTCTCGGCTGCCTCTCGACCACCTCTCGGCAGCCTCTCTCTCGGCGACGTACCGGCTCTACCTCTCGGCCGAACCTCGGCGGCATCTCGGCGTGCTCTGCCCCTTGGCGCTCTGCCCCGGCGCAGGCCCTCGCCTCTGGCCGCGGCACGCTGGTCGAGTTTTACGCGCCGTGGTGTGCCGAGTGCCGCGAGATGGCGCCGATGATGTACCGGCTGGAGAAGGAGTACGCGGGGCGCGTCAACTTCGTGCTCGTCGACGGCGCCGACCCGAAGAACGAGCAGCTCGTCTCCCTCTTCAGCGTCGACGGCGTGCCGCACTTCGGCTTCATCTCGGCCGAGCGGAAGCTGCTGCAGACGCTGATCGGCAACGTGCCGAGGCAGGCGATGGAGGCTAGCCTGAGGCGGCTGCTGTAGCAGTACCGGCGCGGTGTTGAGATTCTGTGCGTGCAGTGCCGAGTCTGTGGATGTGGGGTGTCGGCCGCAACGCGCACAAATCCAAAGATAGGTCCGATCGGTCAGACACAGAGACAGACATCTAGATCTAAAGCGCCGTCAGCCGGACGATCGCGTACGCGGCTCTATGGAGGCCTCAGCCTCACTCAAACCGAGTGTCAGCTCGTCAGCAACTCGTCGATGGTATAGCCATGCGCGGCGCGGGGCTCGCAGCTTCTCAACGCTGCAGAGCCCGTCCCCGCCGCGGCACTCGCCACTCCGCCTCTCCGGCGCGGGAGCGCCCGCACGGTCGCACACCGCTGGCAGAGGCGGCACGCCCAGGAAGGCGAAGAGGCGGCGCATCGCATCCTCGCACGAGGCGCGCGAGGCGGTGAGCTGCTCCGAGTAGACGTGCAGCAGCGGCGTCGTCGGCGCGACCTAGGTAAGGCAAGGGAAGGTAAACTTCTCCACACACTGGGTGCGCTTCTCAGCTCCCCGGTCCTGGGCGTGAGGTTAATGACTGCACTCCAAGTGCTCCAAGTGCTCCAACTCACTGGCAACGGAAACGTCGGAGGGCAAAGAAAGGCCAAAACGAACCGGTTGGGACAAACAGAGCGCAGCTCCACATCAGCCAATGACACCAGCGAGTACATGCAGACAGACGTGTGCGCAGCGACACGGTGTTAACGATAGGGGACCCTCATGAGTACGGCCACGACAGGCACAAACAACAAACAAACTAGAGTATCAATCAAAGCGTCCATGAAAAGCGGGTACGCGCACACGGCTTCCACAGGGCAGCACGCCGAGCCGGAGCGCGCGTGTCGCGTCGGGCGAGCGGCTCGCCTCCCGCGCCTGGCTGCTTCATGCTCCCTCGGCCTCGTCATACTCAGATTCCTCGTTCACTTTGTCGAGCGTATGGAGGGGGATGAGCGTCGCATCGTCAGCGAGGTCGGATAGCACGAACTTGCTCTCAAGCTCACGGAGAGCGGGGGAGGTTAGCATCATGTCCAGCCCGTGCCGCCTAGACAACCCGCGCGGTGAGACGACAGACCCGTCTAGCGTGCGAGGGCAGTGGACAGCGCGCGCCGGTTGTGCGCGTTTAAATTGGTTCGCACGCAGTAGACCCATGCGTCGCGCGCCTCCGTCGTGGAAGCCACAAACTCGTATGCCGGCTCCGACGCGTCCTTCATCATGATCTTCCATCGCTTCGACGGCTTTTTGCCAATCACACGCCGCTCGCCAGTGCGACCGTCGATGTGCATGATGGGCTCCGGAGGCATCGCTGCGACGCGGTGGACGTCGTCAAAGTGGATCACGCTGGGTACCACCCCCTCCTTTTCCACCCCACCACCATCGGATACGTGGACGTAGCTCAGCGAGTCCTCCTCCAGAGTCAATTGACGGGGCAACTCGAAGCCTCTGCGGAGGTGCAAAAGGCCACCGTGCCGGAGCGCCTTATCCTGCGGGCGGTGCGCAGGGGTGCGCTGTAAGTGTGCTAGAAGCCCGTGTATCGGGAGCAATGCGCAAGTAGTGGCTCCTGCACGCGCGAGCGCTCCAGCTCTCTCCACATCTTGAAGCGCTGGCCAGGCTCCCCCATGAAAGCCTGTGGTGCAAGGGGTCGAGGGGCATCACCCGAAATCAATCATTCGGGATTGCCCGATTTTGCCCGAGATTGGCCTCGGACCTGCAGGTTCAACATGGGCAGAGCCTTGAGCTTAACGAGGAAAGACACCGCTTTGATGCTAACCGCAGGGTCATGGCTGAGCTCGGTGCGAGGGCTCGTCCCGACGGATGCTGTCGGCGGCGCTGCACGCGCGCACACGCTGAGGCAGCGCTGGACGCAGGTTTCGAGCCCGGCGCCCGGCGGCCCCATCCCACCGGGCTACCGTAATTGAGTCGTGCGTCCCCGCGGTGATTTGGGCCAAGTTCTAGCTCCCGTCTCCCGACGATACTGAGCGGAGCTGGGACCGGGAGATATTGAAACCTCTTCTAAGGCACTTTCGACGTGATCTCGGGCACTTTCATTAACTAAGCGCAAATAGCCCCGGCATTGAACGCCTTCACAAGACCACCACCAGCGCAGCCACTACACCTCCTCCTTCCCCGCTGCGCGATAGGGGGAGGCGGCTCGGTGTGGGGCATCTGCTGGGTGCGGGTGCGGCGCTGTGGCCGCGGCGGCAAGCAGCCGTGCCGCCTGCCCGAGCCTGACCCCCACGTCGAGCAGCGCGCGCAACTCCAGCAGCCGCAGCGTCTGCACGTCGAGCACATCATTCTCGACGAAAGACAGCGCCTGCTCGCACGCGCCGCACTCCATGAGCAGCTGCAGCAGAGCCGGACTGAGCCGCCTCGCGCTCTCGATCCGAGCGAGCGAGCTCCTCCGCAACGCCGCGACCTCCTCCGTGCCAGCCCCGCCGTCGGCCTGCGCGCCCCCGGCACCAGCCGCTACCTCGCCGAGCAGCTCGATCGCCCGACGTCGGCGTCGGAGCAAGCACGGGTCGTGCGCAGCCTGCACCCCGAGCGGCACTCGCGCACTCGCCTCCGCCTCCAGCATCGCCACCTGCGTGCGACCTCCGAGTCAAGCTCAGGGCCGGACAGTGTGGATAAGAGAGAAACTAGGGTTCAAATGCTGCCTCCCAGCCGCGCTGCCCCGCCTCCTCGGAGAGCATGCGCGGCGTCCTCCCGGACGCGTCGCGCGCCGCCGCATCCGCGCCACGATGCAGCAGCAGCCAGCTCACCTCCACCCTCCCGGCCGAAGCCGCAAAGTGCAGCGGCGTCTGCCCGTTGGAGGTGCGCAAGTCCGGGTCGTCCAGCTGCGCCGCCAGGACCGAGGCGATGTTCGTCTCCCCACCGTTGGCGGCGAGGTGCAGCGCCGTCACTCCGTGGCCTCCCGCCGAGCCCACTCGTGCTCCGCATTGGAGGAGCAGGGACGCCAGCTCCACGTCGCCGCGCCTCGCAGCCAGCATGAGCGGCGTGGATGCGGTGACCGGCTCCACCCCTGCGGCGGTCTGCTGGTCCGAGGAGCGCCAGAGGCTCTCCAGGCTCGCGCCGTGCTCGCATAGCAAGGTCAAGAGGGAGGGGTGGCCTTGGAGGACGGCGGCGTGGAGCGGCGTCGCCGCCTGCACATTTTCGGCGCTCACCGACGCGCCGAACTCGAGGAGGCGCCTCGCCACATCGCGGTGGCCGGCGAGCGCGGCGTTGTGCAGCGGCGTCGCACCTAGGCTGTCGCGCCCGTCGGATGAGGCGCCATGCTCGAGAAGGACGAGCACCGTCGGCGCATGTCCGGCCGCCGCGGCCAGATGCAGAGGCGTGGCGCCGACGAGGTTGTGCGTGTCCGGCTCCGCCCCATGGCGCAGCAGCACCTCTGCCGTAGAAACGTGCCCGCCTTGGGCCGCGTAGTGCAGCGCCGTGCAACCATCAGAGGCGGTGGCGACACCGACGGAGGCACTGCGGGCGAGGAGCAGCTTCGCCACTTGAGCGTGGCCTCTCAGCGAAGCGCTGTGCAAGGCCGTCGCGCCGTTGAGGTCCTGGCGGTCGGCGTCGGCTCGACTGTCGAGGAAAAATTGGACGAGCTCGGCGTGGCCGTGAACGGAGGCCACCTGCAAGGGCGTCACCAGCATTTCCGTCGCGGCATTGACCTCAGCCCCGTATTTGAGAAGCACCCTGCTGACCTCGACGTGGCCGGCGAAGGCTGCTGAGTGGAGCGGAGCGAAGCCACTCTCGCCCTCGATTGAGTTGGGATCGACATCGGCCTCCAGGAGTCTGGTGAGAGCCAGCACGTCGCCCCTGACCGCAGCGGCGTGGATCGGGATAGAGGCGTGCTGCGAGGCGCCGGCCGACATCTCCTGCAGCAGCGAGCGGAGGACGTGGTTGTGGTGCGCGTCCGTCGCATTAGAGGTTGCGTCGGCACTGGTGAGGAGTAGGAGCAGACCGATCATGCCAGGCGCATCATTCCAGGCCCTCTCTCCGACACACCGGCCGCGTTCACGGCTGGAGTGCGATGCCAGAGTGAACCACCGATCGGGCGACATTGGAGCTCGGGGGGGGGGGGGGGCGGGCGGAGGCACCGTGCGCCGCGCAGCAGTGCGGAAACGGGGCTCCGGCTCTACTAGTCTCTACTAGCACCGACTTCCCGATCTAACCTGGATCCTGGTCTAACAGAGGGCAGATTTGGAGAGATCTCGAGGAGTACATACAGATAGACCCTCCAACTATCAAAAAACTCCAACCTGATCGGTCGTACTGACCGCCGACAGATCACTCCAGACAGCAGACAGGCCGACGTCTGCACGCGGCCGGCCGGGCGAGAGGCTTGACACGATCCGACCCTGCCTGCGACCCTGATGCTGCTGCTCTTGAGCACTTGAGCACTGGATAGGGTCGATTCCGCGTGGTACGGGACCCCTCGATCGTCTCGCCCTCCCTCTCTGGCGTGTTCATTGGGGGGGGTCATAACAGCTATCAGACATGCACTGCTGACTGCTGCCACAATGTGCGACCGGTGCTGACCCACTTGGCGGCCTTCCCAGTCAGTGGTGAGGCGCAGTTCAGAGCTGTCGATGGCGCGATGCCGCACTGGTCCCACATTGGTGACACGAGACCACCACACGTTTGCCGGTCCAAGAGAGAGGCACCGGCGCTGTCCGGAGAAGGTGCGTGGTCCCTCTTGACTGCCCATGCGCGCGAGGCTGTGTAGGCATAGCCTCGAGAGTGCCAGCAGCCAACCCGAGGCAGTTTGTGACGCGCATTGTGTCAGAAGCGTGCACGCGCTGGAAGGACACCTTCGGCTACTGGCCGTACGATCAGGTCGTCACTGAATGCTGAAGACTAAGGCCGCGAGCTATGCGGGTGATCAATTGTGCAGCATATGGCACGGTCAGCAGCGCCGACAGGCTGTCGTCGCAAGGCGTGATAGCACGATGGCCGCAAGTACGCCGAATTCCCATGAAATTGAAAACAAGTGTGAAAGTGAAAAATCGCGCAAAAAAAATCCCCCAAATCGGCCGCATGGATACCCTCTAGGGCCCTCGCCTCCCCCCAGAGCAGGTTGGAGAAAAAAACGCAAATTTGCGTCGCACTGCGTACGGCATGAGACACACCTCTTAAAAATAAAACAGACGTACCTCGTACGGCAATGAGTACAACCGCGCAGCGAACAATCTCTGGTTACTGGTACGTCCGCCCCGCACGCCGCAGGCAGAGAGATTCCGAGATAGAGATGCACACATGGGAGGTGGCGGGCTTATCATCCTCGCCAACGCCACGAGACGCGGAACGAAAGCGAGCTCCTCACGTCGTTATCGCTGCAGCAGTACGTATCGGCGATGTCGGCGATGTCGTCACCGCTCGCTATGCATCTCTATGCGGCTGTGCCGCATCCGCTGCCCTCCTCGCGGCAGCCGCCCTTGCCCTCGAAGCGGCCGCAGCGGCACGCCTCGCGTCGGCAGCCGCCGCCGCCTCCTCGAGCGCTGTCTCAATCCCCTCCAGCGCCGCCTGCGCCTTGTCCAGCGCCGCCTTGGCCTCTGCACGCGCCGCCCGGGCCTCCGCCCGCGCAACCTCGACTTCCGCCAGCGCCGCCTCGGCAGCCGCCTCTTCCTCCTCGTCTGCATCTGCCTCCTCCTCCGCCTCGTCCGCCTCAGCGTCCAAGCGCACAGCCTTAGCCACCTCTGCCGACGCCGCCGCCTGGCTCTCCGCCGTGATGCCGAATCGGATCCTCTCCTCGGTGAGCGTCGCGAGAAGCTGGAGAAGCCTCGCCTCCTCGGCCTTCTTCGCCGCCTCAGCTGCGGCTGCCTCCGGCGGCGCCTCGGTGCCCTCCGTTGGCGCCTCGGGCTCCTGCGACGGCGGCTCGTGCTCTTGCGACGGCCCAGCCATGCCCGCCCCCCCGCCCTTCTTCTTCTTCTTCTTCTTGGCCTTGGCGCGCTTCTCCGCCTCGACCTCCGCCAGCAGCTCCTTGGCGTGCCGCGCCTCCTCAGGCACCGCCCCGCCGCTGTTCGGCTCGGCCTCCGCGCCGCCCTCGCCGCTCGAGGCAGAGGTTGCGCCCGCCCGCTCGCCGACTGCTGGTGGCGCCTTGCTCCGACCCGCCACCTCCCCGAGGTATGTCCTGACGGCCTCGACGCACTTGGCGTGACCATTCGCCTTGGCCATCTGCAGCGCCGTCCTGCCATACGAAGAGCGCACCCTCATGTCTGCGCCCGCCCGCAGAAGACGGAGCACGACTGCGTGGCGGCCCTGACTGGCGGCAATCATCAGCGGGGTGGCGCCGAGGGCGTCCTGCAGGTTCACATCCGCGCCGCGCTGCAGCAGGAGGCCAACCACCCGCTCGCACCCGTTCCCGGCGGCGACTCCTAGCAGCGTAGCGCCACTCGCACAGCCCGCGGTGGCCCGCCCGCCGCCGTCAAGCCATGCCTCCACCGCCGCCTCATCGTCACGCTTAGTCGCGGCCACGACCTCGTTGGGCACCATCTGAAAGACCTCGTTGGGCACCATCTGAAAGGCTTCCAGAGGCCGATCGCGCGCTTCCAAGCGAGCAAAACCAAGGAACGAGCCGCCGGCGGCGGCGCCTCCGACTTTCCGCCCCGCCGAAGCGTGTTTTTGGGTCTCTCGAAAAGCCACTGAGGAGCTGGTCGATCAGGTTTATCCGAGACACGGCATCTCCCGACCTCAGAAAGGCACCAAGTGCAGACACCAAAAAGCAAGGCATAATCGCCAAAAAATCGCGCCGCGCCGCAATCCAGAAGGACATGGCCATGGACCCACTTGACGACCCAGGCAGCCTCTGGCTCGCCACTTCACTCGGCTCTTTTCCAGCCGTCTCGACCCGCCCCCAGCAGCACGCCGTCTGTGAGATCCAGCAGCGGCCTGATCGACCTGTTGAGTGGTCCGCAGCCGATGCACCCACATGCAGCTTGATGCATGCCTCAACTAAGATGCCGACCAGCTTGGTTGTGGCGGCCGAAGAGCGGTGCTGGCCGCCGCCTCTCGACGGGGTCAGTGTGGCGCGTTCGAAATGCAGCCGCGCCGCCTCACCCGCGGCGCCTCTCGGCCGGTGACCGACGCCGGCAGATGCCCACACAGCCCGGGGACGGGCCGCGCCGATTGCGGCGCCCCTTCCTGCAAAGCTGGAGCACTGAGCGCGAGCGCGCATAGGCCCTCGCGGAGGGGCCCTTTTTGTCGAACCTGCGCCCGGCCGCCTGCGGGCGGCCTTCTCTCGAGGTCTCGAGATACACAAAGCGGCCAACCAAAGGCGTGCTCGAAAAGAAAATACTCGCATCCAAGTGGACAACACGTGGAATGCACCTGACCGCGTCGAGCTGCGCACAGACGGCGCGCTCTGGCAGACAGAGCAGCGGCCGCCCAGGCGGTCGCCGCGCTCTGGCAGACAGAGCAGCGGCCGCCCAGGCGGTCGCTGTTCCGCCCCGTCCGAATCCGTCCGCCCGCGCGTGCCGCTGCCGCCGCCGCCGCCACCACCGCCGCCGCGTTTCCCCGCGCCGCCACGCTTCCCTTTGCACCTGACCGCGTCGAGCTGCGCACAGACGGCGCCTCGGCGCGCGAGGTCGAACCATGTCCTTTTCTTGTGTTATTTCTTCACTACCCTGAACGCCTTGCCTATCATCATCGTTGCAACTGAAAAGACCTCCAAGCCCTGAGAGCCCTCCCCCTGCTATAAAAACAGACGTACCTCGTACGGCAATGAGTACAACCGCGCAGCGAACAATCTCTGGTTACTGGTACGTCCGCCCGCAGGCAGAGAGATTCCGAGATAGAGATGCACACATGGGAGGTGGCGGGCTTATCATCCTCGCCAACGCCACGAGACGCGGAACGAAAGCGAGCTCCTCACGTCGTTATCGCTGCAGCAGTACGTATCGGCGATGTCGGCGATGTCGTCACCGCTCGCTATGCATCTCTATGCGGCTGTGCCGCATCCGCTGCCCTCCTCGCGGCAGCCGCCCTTGCCCTCGAAGCGGCCGCAGCGGCACGCCTCGCGTCGGCAGCCGCCGCCGCCTCCTCGAGCGCTGTCTCAATCCCCTCCAGCGCCGCCTGCGCCTTGTCCAGCGCCGCCTTGGCCTCTGCACGCGCCGCCCGGGCCTCCGCCCGCGCAACCTCGACTTCCGCCAGCGCCGCCTCGGCAGCCGCCTCTTCCTCCTCGTCTGCATCTGCCTCCTCCTCCGCCTCGTCCGCCTCAGCGTCCAAGCGCACAGCCTTAGCCACCTCTGCCGACGCCGCCGCCTGGCTCTCCGCCGTGATGCCGAATCGGATCCTCTCCTCGGTGAGCGTCGCGAGAAGCTGGAGAAGCCTCGCCTCCTCGGCCTTCTTCGCCGCCTCGGCTGCGGCTGCCGGCGCCTCGGTGCCCTCCGTTGGCGCCTCGGGCTCCTGCGACGGCGGCTCGTGCTCTTGCGACGGCCCAGCCATGCCCGCCCCGCCGCCCTTCTTCTTCTTCTTCTTCTTCTTCTTGTCCTTGGCGCGCTTCTCCGCCTCGACCTCCGCCAGCAGCTCCTTGGCGTGCCGGTCCTCCTCCTCCGCCGCCGCCCTCTCCGCCGCCTCCGCAGCCCGCGCCGCCTCCTTCGCCGCCGCCTCGGCCGCCGCATGCTCCTCGAGGGCGCACACGCACTCGGCGTTGCCCGCCTTCTTGGCAAGCTGCATCGCCGTGGAGCCAGCCGCCGTGCGCAGCTTCGTGTCGGCGCCCGCCCGCAGCAAGCGGAGCACGACGGCGGGGTATCCCCTGACGGCGGCGATTATCAGCGCGGTGTCGCCCTTGCTCGTCTGCAGGTTTATCTCCGCACCGTGCCGAATCAGAAGGTCGACCACCCGCTCGTGGCCTCTGAAGGCGGCGTCCGTCAGCGCTGTGCTGTCAAACTGGTTTCGATGATCGATCTCCACGTCGGCGTAGATCAGCGCGGTGCCACCGTTGCTGGCCTGCGACGAGATATCCGCACCGTGCCGCAGAAGCGCCTCGGCCAGCCCAAGGTGGCCCTTGGCCATTGCGAGCACCAGCAGCGTCATGCCGCTCACACGAGAGCCGTCTTCAAAGGTGTACTCGAACGTCGCGTCGACCCGCCCGCCGCCGTCGAGCCACTCCAGCACCGCCGCCTCTTCGCCTCGCTCTGCCACTAGCACGACCTCCTCAGGCACCGCCCCGCCGCTGTTCGGCTCGGCCTCCGCGCCGCCCTCGCCGCTCGAGGCAGAGGTTGCGCCCGCCCGCTCGCCGACTGCTGGTGGCGCCTTGCTCCGACCCGCCACCTCCCCGAGGTATGTCCTGACGGCCTCGACGCACTTGGCGTGACCATTCGCCTTGGCCATCTGCAGCGCCGTCCTGCCATACGAAGAGCGCACCCTCATGTCTGCGCCCGCCCGCAGAAGACGGAGCACGACTGCGTGGCGGCCCTGACTGGCGGCAATCATCAGCGGGGTGGCGCCGAGGGCGTCCTGCAGGTTCACATCCGCGCCGCGCTGCAGCAGGAGGCCAACCACCCGCTCGCACCCGTTCCCGGCGGCGACTCCTAGCAGCGTAGCGCCACTCGCACAGCCCGCGGTGGCCCGCCCGCCGCCGTCAAGCCATGCCTCCACCGCCGCCTCATCGTCACGCTTAGTCGCGGCCACGACCTCGTTGGGCACCATCTGAAAGACCTCGTTGGGCACCATCTGAAAGGCTTCCAGAGGCCGATCGCGCGCTTCCAAGCGAGCAAAACCAAGGAACGAGCCGCCGGCGGCGGCGCCTCCGACTTTCCGCCCCGCCGAAGCGTGTTTTTGGGTCTCTCGAAAAGCCACTGAGGAGCTGGTCGATCAGGTTTATCCGAGACACGGCATCTCCCGACCTCAGAAAGGCACCAAGTGCAGACACCAAAAAGCAAGGCATAATCGCCAAAAAATCGCGCCAAAAAATCCACGAAGGCGCGCTTCTGATTCCTTCGATGTGCGGCGAATCCTCAGAGCACAGTGTCGTTCTTGCAGCGGCACGTCGTGACACTGGCTGGCGCTGTGGGCGTCGGTGAAAGAGCGGCGAAGACGTTTCGATCGACTCGCGTGATCAACCGCATCACTGGCGTGAAGATGAGGTCAGATTCTGGCACCATCGCTTGAGACTTGCCGCAAATGGTAATGGGAACGCATTCACATCTACATGCTGTGAACAAAATATTCCCTAAGGGGTATTCCTCAGGGTAATCTCTAAGGATATTTTCTAAGGAGAATTCTAAGGAGAATTTCTAAGGATATTTCTAAGGATATTTTCTAAGGATATTTCTAGGATATTTTCTAAGGCGACTCTCCAAGATCAATCGCTAAGGATATTTGTCTCAGAATATTGTCTTAGATATTTGGCTCAGGATATTGTCTCAGGATATGGTCTGTCTCAGGATATTTGCCTTAGGAAATTGTCTCAGGATATTTGGCTTAGGAAATTCCCTCAGGATATTTGGCTTAGGATATTTGGCTTAGGAAATTATCTCAGGATATTTGGCTTTGGCTTAGAATATGGTCTCAGCATATTTGCTTAGGATATGGTCTCAGGATATTTGACTTAGGATATTGTCTCAGGATATTTGGCTTAGGAAATTGTCTCAGGATATTTGGCTTAGGATATTCCCTCAGGATATTTGGCTTAGGAAATTGTCTCAGGATATTTGGCTTAGGATATTCCCTCAGGATATTTGGCTTAGGATATTTGGCTTAGGAAATTATCTCAGGATATTTGGCTTAGGATATTTGGCTTAGAATATGGTCTCAGGATATTTGGCTTAGGAAATTGTCTCAGGATATTTGGCTTAGGAAATTGTCTCAGGATATTTGGCTTAGGATATTCTTAGGATATGGTCTCAGGATATTTGGCTCAGGAAATTGTCTCAGGATATTTGTCTTAGGAAATTGTCTCAGGATATTTGGCTTAGGAAATTGTCTCAGGATATTTGGCTTAGGATACTCCCTCAGGATACTTAGGATATGGTCTCAGGATATTTGGCTTAAGATATGGTCTCAGGATATTTGGCTCAGGAAATTGTCTCAGGATATTTGGCTTAGGAAATTTTCTCAGGATACTCTCTCAGGATTGGTCTCAGGACATAATCTCAGGATATTTGGCTTAGGATATTTGGCTGACGGTCCAGGCCACCCTCAGGGATGCCTAGATCTGAGGGCAGAAGAGAGAAGATTGAGTGCACACAAAAAGCAGACTAGGGAGGATCCCTAAGCGGCCGTCTGACGTCGGACGTTGGAATGCGTGTCGTGTCAGACGGCAGGTCCAGGCGCCGACGGCGGCCTCGCTCGAGCATGATCCTGCTGCTGTGCCTGATAGTCGTCGCCGCCGCGCTGTCCATCATCGCGCTCGCGCTCTACGAGGGCACAGCTTCGCCACCAGGGACACCAGTGGCAGCGATGGCAGCCGAGCGTGTGGCTGCCGAGCCGGTGCAGTGGCAGGTGGCGCCCGAGACGGCTGGAGATGCTGGGGAGGATTCCGACAGCCGTGAGGCGGACGACGGCGAGGCCGGTGGATACGTGATGGCCTCGTTCAAGCAAGGCAAGGCGATGGGTGACGGCCTCCGGCTGCTGCACTCGCAGGACGCACTGCGGTGGGAGGCGTTGCCTCCGAGCGGCAAGCCGGTGCTGGCGTGGACCGAGGTGGAGGGCGCCAGCGTGTTTCGAGACCCGTCGATGGTCTGGGACCGCGGCCTCTTCCACCTCGTCTTCACGGCCGAGCTGTGCGTGCACCAGGAAAGAAACGAACATTAGACGCACATCCCTCCGCGCGAAGGGTTGAGAGCTCTCCGTTGTCTGTTTAGGTGGCCGGCAAGTGGCGGTGCCACCCCTCCGACCCGGACGCGGCGGAGGGCGGCGGGCGGCGGCGCAGCCCGCGCTTCGGCTACGCGCGGTCTCGCGACTTGCTCTCCTGGACGGGCGTGAGGCTGGTCGAGGTGCCGTTGCCGGACGCGTGCTCGCTGTGAACGGCGTCTCTTCACAGCTCTGGCCGTGAACAGGTGCCGTTGCCGGACGCGTGCTCGCTGTGGGCGCCAGAGCTTGCGGCTCTGCCCGAGGCGCCAGGGGAGCGGCCCCCTGCGGCGCCCCGTCGGGCCACGAGGGGGATGAGACGGTTGCAGCGGATAGGCGGAGGGCGGCGGCTTCGTCCTTCTCTTCTCGGCGACGCGACACGCGGGCGAGTGCCCCGCCCACCATGGCCGCGTCGACGCACGAGGCGCTGTTCACGCCTCTAGCTGCGAGCAGGCGAGTGTCCGCCCACCATGGCCGCGTCGACGCACGAGCCGTACTACATGATGACGCGCGACTTCGAGGCGCGGTCGCCGCCCCTGCCGCCCGAGCTCCGCTCTAAGGACGCTGTGAGGAGGCGCTGCTCACGCCTCTAGCTGTCCACAGGCGTGGTCGCCGCCCCTGCCGCTCGAGCTGCCGCCCGAGGACGCTGGTCGTTCGGTCATCGACCTGTTCCTGCTGCTCGGCGCGGCGGGCACACTCCACTCCGCACGCGCTCTTGAAAGGGCTGTGAACAGCGTCTCTTGACAGCCTCTCTGTGCACAGGCGCGCCGCACGCGCTCTTCTACAAGCTGGAGGACAACCGGTGCGAGAGGCGTGACTACGAGCTCGGCGCGCCTGAGATATGGGGAGATATGGGGAGATATAGAGGCGTGACTACAAGCTCGGCGCGTCCACGCCCACGCCACGTCCACGGCACGTCCACGGCACCTCCACGGCACGCTGCAGGCGCGCTGCTCCGCGGCCAGAACTGCACCCTTGCGATCCGGCACGCCACCGCGCGCCGCGTGACGGGCCCGTGGGCCGCGGCCACCGCCTCGGGGCCTTTCTTTCTCGACGCGATCTCGCGGCCTTGTTGCGAGGGGCCTGCGGCGGTGGCAAAGCCGGACGGGGCGGATCGAGGTGTGAAGGGGCGTCTCTTCACGCCTCTGGCCGTGAGCAGGTGGTGAGGCCAGACGGGCGACTTCTCCTCCCCCTCGGAGTGTGGTCAATAGGCTGACTTGTTCATTGACTGGTCGAACCGTTCGTTGATTAGGCGGCTCCTCCTCCTCTTCGACGTGTACCGCGACGACTGCCGCCTCCACTCGCCCGCGCCGTGCGACCGCGTCGCCGGTGAGGCGCCCTCCGACGTCGGGCTGACGCGGGCGCCGAGACATCGCCGAGATGCACCCGAGATGTGCCCGAGATATACCCGAGAATCACTCGAGATGTAGCCAAGGATATCACCGAGAGTTTTCTTCGAGATGTCGCCGAGATGTCGCCGAGGTATACTCGAAGTCGAGCCGAGGGCGAGCGGCGCGGCCGTCTCGGGCGATCTCGGGCTGAGCTCGCGCGATCTCGGGTGATCGCAGGTGCTGCCCGAGGGCGAGCGGCGCGGCTGCGCCTTCAAGCCCTCCCACAAGGGCTTCGGCGCGCTCGAGGGGGACGGCGCCTCGCGCTGGCGCGACATCAGCGGCAGCGTCGAGGCCCCCGCCGGCTACAAGCACGGCACCGCCCTGCTCTTGCCGCACGCGGCGCTCCGGGCGGTGTGCGAGCCTCAGCCCACCGCCGCGGCGGCCGTCGGCGCGAGCCGGCGCGAGACCGGCCGCTTCCGCGACACGGAGCTCTGCAAACGGTGGCGCAGCCGCCGCAACCTCGAGGGCGAGCGCTGCGAGGGAAAGGCGTGCGAAGACTGGGCGGGGTCGCGGCGGGCAAGGGATCTGGTGTAGACTCCCCGAGGTATTGTGGAAGACGCGGGCGCGTCGTGGAGGCGCGTGGCCGTCTAAGACTGTCTCGTGATAAACACAAGGGAGCTGCACATACACTGTCGCGGCAGCCTCTCTCTCTCACTCTGTGCGAGTGGCCAAGATACGCAAGAGACCTCATCTCCTCAAGACGGAAGGGCTAGTTCGTAACGCTTTTTTGTTGGTAGTTCCCCATTTCACTCAGCTGTGTGCGATGGCACACAGCGGCTCGCGTTACAAAACCTTGAGCACTTGAGCACTGGATAGGGTCGATTCCGCATGGTACGGGACCCCTCGATCGTCTCGCCCTCCCTCACTGGTGTGTTCCTTGGGGGGGGTCCTAACTAACCGCAAACACGGTACAGGATCGAGGTGCACGCTGAGCTGAGGGACCCCAGAGAGAGGGTAGATCGAGCAGTGTCGTCCCCCCTCTCCATCATCTCCCTGGGAGACGTCGGCGGCGATGGCGGTGTGACCGATCGAGCTACAAGAGGAGCTTGTTCAGCAGGATCCGGGGTGGGTCGAGCAGTTCTCACTTCCACAATGGGTGAGCTTCAGACCTCAGGCCAGCCTCCCCCCTCACCCTTCGGCTTATGTGGATTCGAACCACCGCCGGGATGGAAGCTTCCTGCTTCCATCTTGAGAGACAGCGCCGCGCATCACCTGTTGTGCAAGTGATTTTGACCATTTGCGCACTATTGTACCTCTCGGTGCCTTCCAGAGGCAGCTGCGACCCCGCCGCGAGTAGATGGGCGTACACAGCAGGTGGCGCGGTGTGCGCCCGTCCACTCGGCGGGGTCGCAGCTGCCTCTCGCTGAAGCGGAGGGCGCGGTGCGCGGATGTGTCAGTGTGTGTCCCACGGGCGTTTGATCAGGGCAGATCTCCGCCATGTTCACGCGCGCGCGCGAGATGTGCCAGGGTGGCCAGGTGAGAGCGAAATTCCGCCCGCGGTTCATCTCGCACAAAGTCGAGAAGGATTGTGAGCAGTACTCCTATCAATCGTAGCATCTCTGTGCAATTGTGAGCAACCACGCTTGCAATCCTACATATTCTCTACGACCACGAGCGACTACTATACCAAGCAGCGCGCGCGGCGCGCGCGCGCGCGCGCGCGCGCGCGCGCGCAAATCCGAGCAAAGTCTAGCTAGGTTGCGAGCAGCCCCACTTGAGCACTTGAGCACTGGATAGGGTCGATTCCGCATGGTACGGGACCCCTCGATCGTCTCGCCCACCCTCACTGGTGTGTTCATCGGGGGGGGGTCATAACAAACACGGTACAGGAGCAGCCCCACTGCCATTTCTAGCAACATGCATCCGATTGCGAGCGGTTAAGCCCTGGTGTGGGCGGTTCCTTTGTATCTCCCGCCTTGCACTTAATTCGTGGGGTGGGAAACAGGATCTCCAAGGGATTAATGTACGTACTTTTAGCTTACTGGGAGAAAAGGGAGAGGGGGTTGTGTTCTCTAGGCCCCTAAAGGGCCCTACGCGCGGCGTGAGAGCTCGGAAGCGAGCTTTGCACGGCGAGCCCTGTTCACGCGCGCGCGAGACGTGCAGACAGGGTTGCCAGGTGAGAGCGAATGGCGCGGTTCACGCCTCGCACAACAGAGAGAGAGAGATGCGCTCTGCATGGTGGGACATAAAAGAGAGCGAGTACTTGGGCGAGTATAGGCCGTGCGGTCGACGCTGCCGCGCGCGACCTTGCGCGCGAGGCGGCGCAGCTTGAGAAAGAACAGCGGTGGGCGAGAAGCCGCCGCCGAACGTCTCGCTCGTGGAGCAGCAGGTTGAAGTTGTTGCGCTTGACAAAGATCGCGTCATGGTAGAAACTGCGATGCGCCTGCCTGTCACTTTAGTTGGTATAGTACCCTGAGCGGCTTCAACAAACCTGTGAAGATCGTGGCAGACAATGGCATCGATGCTGAGATCTCGTCGGCCAAGACGTGCGGTGGCGCAAACTCTGGCGTGTTCCCTTGCAACTACGGCCAAGACTGCGGGACCAAGGGCGATCACCCATACAACCCCATCTCGTGCCCGGGCTGCAATGAGCATTGCTGCGACCACGTCCCTTCCGACTCGGGCACCTGCGACCCGCAGGCCTTCAACCCTGTCCAGTACGCGCCTGTAGTCACCTTCTGCCCGGCTGCAAGCTTCTAGAATGGCAGGACCGGGGACATTGCTTCTCCTGTGTGTCGCTCTCCTGTGTGTGTCAAATGCGAGCACTGTGCACTGCTGGGGCAAAGGGAGCCTAGAGCTGGGAGGAGTGCGGGTGTTTAATAGAGACTTCAACGACTCGCGCTCACACACAAGCACACATCCAAGCACACGCAGGTGCGGATTGGCGCGCACTCAGAGAAGATAAAACGGTCTCCTGTGCATGTGCCGCTCCACCAGGTTGGAAGGTGCTCGACCGAAAATTGGGCAAAAACGGGTGATTTCGGGCATCCGTGAAAATATCTGAAGAGCCTACTATAGGATTCTCCCCAAACCTTGCTCAGCTGATCCAGCACGGGCCGTAGGCCAGCCCTGGGCAAAGAAACCAGCACCTCATCGGGCTTCCCTGAGCGTCACAGCACGCTGCACGGTGATCGCGCCGGCCGGACACCACTGTAACGGCCGTTCCGGGCGTTTGAACGCGACCTTCGAGAGAGCGACACATGCATCAAGATGCATACATGGTTCTACGGCTTTACACCCAGGGGGGACGGTTCGTTCCCAGATCGTCTTAAACTTGTAAACAGAAGATCGAATCAACTATGAACAATGTGTATTTCACACAAATGGGCCGACAGAGGCGATAAAATCTCAACTCTCTCTCAACTGTTTTGAAACAGATTCCACCCTCTCACTTTCTGCTCCTTGTCCTGTTTTAGGGTAAATTCTGCTCCTTTGCAAAAAGCATAAATCGGGCTCCCGGCGTTATCATCCTGGAAGGACATCTCGCGTCAGGACCGACTGGATACAGGCCGCCAGCCCGCCCTACAGCCCACCCACACCACCACCTCCCGCTACCTGCAAGCAGCTTCTATCACCACCGCCACCGATGGCACGAGCCGAGCCCTCGCTGCTCTGTGCCATCGCCAGTGCCTTGACTTGCTCACCGCCACGTTCGCCGCAGATATGCACTCCAACTTCGCGCTCCTCTCGCTCTTCGCCGGCGTGTTCGGCGCGCCGATTGAAAAGGCATCAAGCGTCTGCCCGTCAACTGGCACCGCATGTGCTGGCGTCTGCATCGTCAATGACTGCGCGGGCCTCACGTTGCACACGGTCAACCAAGGGTCGTCGAGCCACGTCATCCAACCTGGGTGCTTCACTTCCCTCGGTGCAGGCTTTCGCGTCATTGTTGGCGACAAGGACGCAGACGCCAGCACAGCTGGCTACACACTTTTCGAGGGCACATGGAAGGCTGGAGACGAATTTATGTACTGGGACCTGTCCGCCTTGAGCGGCTTCAACAAACCTGTGAAGATCGTGGCAGACAATGGCATCGATGCTGAGATCTCGTCGGCCAAGACGTGCGGTGGCGCAAACTCTGGCGTGTTCCCTTGCAACTACGGCCAAGACTGCGGGACCAAGGGCGATCACCCATACAACCCCATCTCGTGCCCGGGCTGCAATGAGCATTGCTGCGACCACGTCCCTTCCGACTCGGGCACCTGCGACCCGCAGGCCTTCAACCCTGTCCAGTACGCGCCTGTAGTCACCTTCTGCCCGGCTGCAAGCTTCTAGAATGGCAGGACCGGGGACATTGCTTCTCCTGTGTGTCGCTCTCCTGTGTGTGTCAAATGCGAGCACTGTGCACTGCTGGGGCACAGTGCGAGAAAGGGAGCCTAGAGCTGGGAGGAGTGCGGGTGTTTAATAGAGACTTCAACGACTCGCGCTCACACACAAGCACACATCCAAGCACACGCAGGTGCGGATTGGCGCGCACTCAGAGAAGATAAAACGGTCTCCTGTGCATGTGCCGCTCCACCAGGTTGGAAGGTGCGAAGTTTATGTGGCCGCCGATCACGAGCACCGGTATGTCGCCGCGGCTGTAAGATAGGAGACGCTGTGGCGAGGCGCGAGAGGCCGCGCCTGCTCGTGATCGGCGGCCGCAGCGGGCAAGGCCAAGGGATCTGGTGTAGACTCCCTCGGAGGTATTGTGGAAAACGCGGGCGCGTTGTGCGCACATGTCCATGTGGAGCCGAAAAGCTGGAGCCAGCTGTGTGCTCTGAAGTCTGATGGAGACCTGGAGAGGCGCGTGGCGCGAGAGCGGGAGAGGGCAGCTCCATAGTGTCCTCTGGGCGAATGTTTCGGCGGGACCCCTCCTTCGGGCAACGCCAATGGCTAGCCACAACAGGCGACGAACACAGATGTCAGATGACGGCGTGGGCAGCGCGGGTAGCGGCCCCACCAGAGCCCCACACCGCAGGCAAACCAACGCGACACGTCACCACCGTCGAGTTCGGAGCGACGAAGCAAACTCTCCCGTGTAGCTGTACGGGCTACGGCTCTGCAGTGCTTGTCGCGAGAGGAACGGCAACGCGCCTCTCGCGTCGCGCGGCGGCGGCGGGCCACGTGCACGTCGGGCCTCACCGCGCAAGGTCTGCGGACGGCTTCTCCTCGTCCACCGGCGTAGCGGTCGAGAAGCGCGCGAAGGCGAGGGCGGCGAGGAGCTGGAGCGTGGCGATGGCGCAGAAGGAGGGTGCCCACGAGCCGAGCCGCTGCAGCAGGAGCCCGACGACCACGGGGCCGACGAAGGCTGCGAGCGAGGCGAGCGTGTTGCCGACGCCGGTGACGACGCCGGTCGCCGAGCGCGTGACGTCCATATAGCTCGCCTTGAAGCCGGACGGGTGCAGCGCCGCGAAGCCGTTGGCGAGCGAGAAGCAGCAGGTGGCACCTGACCATGAATCACTGATACGTACTACTACTACTTGTTCCTCGCGAGCGAGAGAAGCAGCAAGTGGCACCGACGGCGCCGAAGCGGCTCGCCGCGGCAGGCGTCGCCAGCATGGCGAGCGCCGAGCCCACAAACCCGACTCCGCTGAAGAAGCGGCGGCAGCCGAGGGTGGAGAAGCCTAGAGAAGGAACACTCGTTCGCATCTCGTCTCTGCCGGCGGGGTCTCTTCTTCAGCCGAGGGCGGAGAAGCCGAGGGACGGGCCTCGCAGCGCAGCCTCGAGCGGCCGCGCGAGCAGCGCCTTGACGGCGAGGTCGACCAGCGGCGGCAGGGCGAGGGCGAGCTTGGCCTGCTCGGGCGGCAGTCCGAGACTAGTGTGAACTGAGTGGACATCTGAACCTCGTCCCGCCCCTCGAGCTCTGCCTTCTCGGGCAGCAGACCAAACGACTCCGAGTAGAAGGTCGGCGCCCAGCTCGTCATGAAGTAGATGCAGAGGTTGAACGCCATGTGCGAGAAGAAGATGACCCACACGGCGCCCGACGACAGCAGCAGCCGCACCCGCCGGCTCCCGAGCAGCAGCGGCGGCACGCCGCGCCCGCCCCTCCCTCCCTCGCCGCCCACCCCGCCGCCCACGCGCGCCTCCCGCGCCGCGGCGATGGCGGAGGCGGCGGAGGAGACGGCTGCGGCGGCGGCGGTGGGAGTGGCGGCGGGAGTAGCGGCGGGAGCGGCGGGTGCGGCGGGTGCGGGCGTGGGCGGCGGGTGTTGTGATGGGAGGTCGAGAGAGAGAGACGCCCAGAGGGCGGTGAAGGCGAGGCCGAGCACGCCGTAGAGGCGGAAGGCGCCGCGCCTGGTCAACAGCGGCACGCGTGACGAGAGGCGGATCGCCGGACGGGCGGTGGTGGAGGGAGGGTGGAGGCGGCGAGGGCGGAGGCGGCGAGGGCGGCGGGCTGGGCGGCGGCGGTGAGGGCGGCGGCGGCGAGGGTGGCGGCGGGTTGGGTGGCGGCGGCGACGGCGGCGGAGGCGAGGGTAGCGGTGGTGGCGGGATGCGGAGTGTGCGTGCGCGCCAGCCGACCGCGGCGGCGATGGCGCCAGAGAAGGGGAGGGCGAGTAGGGTGGCGAGGGTGATGCCGAGGTCGAGGACGGTGGACGCGTGCGCGCGCTTGCTCGGAGGCAGCGCCGGGCCTGGTGAGCTTGAGAGACTGGGTCAGGGTGTGGGAGGAGAGACAGCCACGGCGTGCTGTGGAGAAGAGAGCCAAAGCCACGTGCTGTGAACAAGAGAGCCAGAAGGGAGGAGAGAGACAAAGCCCAGGCGAGAGTGGGGAAGAGGCCCAGAGTCTAAGAGGGCCGAGGGCCAGAGAGAGTCCAAGGTGTGAGTGTGTCGCGTGCACGTCTAGTGCGGCACCCCCGGCGACAAAGGGCCCGCGTGTGAGTGCGTGTGGGCCCGCCGCCGTGCGACACACGGACTTGTGCTCCGCGTCTGTGCTTGCATCTAGCGCCGACGGCACCGAGGTAGGCGATCGAGGTGGGGTAGAGGGGGCCCTGGGAGACCCCGAGCAGGACCTGCGCGAGGCAGAGGGCGCGGACCGAGCGCGCGCTCGCAGAAGCCAAGGTGCACGCCCCGCCCAGGGCCGACGCGCACAGGATCACCAGCCGCGGCCCGATGCGGTCGGCGAGAGCACCGCCGGCGATCTGCGAGGAGAGGTAGCCGAGCGAGTAGGATGAGAGCAGCTGGCCGCGCGAGGAGGCATCGCACGCCATGTCGCCACACACGTACACCACCAGCGGCCCCATCGCTAGCCGCATGATGGACTGCACGAACCGCGAGCCAAAGAGGAGGTAGAGCTGCCGGTCGGAAGCGCGGCTCTGAGGCGCAGCGACCGCGCTGCTGCTCGCGACCAGCGGAGCGCGGCGCAGGAGCGGCAGCCTGCCATCGCACGCAGGCTGATACGCAGCCGCCGGGCCGGCGAACAGCAGCGCGAGGCCGACACACCGAAGCAACATGCCTTTTCCGGCTGCTGCGGCCCCTGACAGGGGACCGTCCAAGCGCGAGCCGCCGCCCAGGGACCGGAGGGCGGGGCGATGGCGCGCACGCGAGCCGGCGGGCGCACACCTCTTCCTGGCGTCGTCCAAGAACACTAAGAGCTCAGCTGCGCGAAAAAAGACTGCCGCGCAACGAAGGTATGGTTCTTGCACTTGTGCAAGATTGGGCGTCTTCTGCCGCAGTCCCTTTGATGGGAGGCCCCAGGGTGGGGGCCACCTCGAACCCCCGGCCAGGGATTCGAGCGGAGGGTGCCCCGGATTCATCTATCCGTTGGGCCCCGGTACATTCATTAGAACTGATCACTTTCATGTGCCACCTCGCGTTCTTCCCACTCTCGTCGTTCTCTCTCCTGCTGTCTCTTCCCCTGACGCATCGCTCTCCTCGGCCTCGTTCTGAGACGCCGCTGCCGTCTGCCTTGCTCTCGCTGCTTCTCTCGCCTTTCTGCGTACGTAACTCCGCTCTCCTCTCCGCGTATTTTGGTCCCTCGAGTTTATCGAGCATTCCTCGCGCAAGGACCACATTTCTGACTCCCACTGCGAGCATATCCCGCCCTGTCATGTCGTTGCTCAGGTCCCGAGGTGGGTGACGGGCGTCCCATGCTGCATGCTCATCACTGCGCTTCGGCGAAACTCCTGCTTCGGAGATCGCGGGAATGTTTAGCCTTCGAAGACGGTGATTTTGCCACGGTCCGAGTCAAAGCGAGTCACTTCCGGCATGTCAGAGGCACCTGGCCCCCCCCCGGCGACCATCGCCGGGGTGGGGACCAGCACCGAGGGAGCAGCACCCCCACTCGCAGCGATGCAGCCTCCCCACTTTCCCGCAGCGCCAGCTGTTCCCATGCCGGCGACCAGCGTTGGCGTGGGCGCTCGGTGGACGCCTCTGACCATGGCTGTGTATATATGTGGTTGACCGCGGCCGCTCTTCGCTGTAGGCGCGGGCTGGCCGGCACCCACGGCTCAGCCGGGCTCGAGCGCGTGCGGAAGCGTCGAGAGGGGTGTGGACGCTTCGACACAGATGGAAACGGGCAGACCCGCAATCGTCCCACCGGGCGCGGGGAGCGCGCCCCTCCAGCTGTCGATGGGGGCGCAAGCGGGAGCGTCGAGTGTGTTGCTCGAAGATCTCATGCAGCCGATGGGTTCCTTCTGCCCAAACGGATCCGGCGGTGCACTCGTGTTGCCCAGCCATCTCTCGCCGCCAACGCCTCCCGTCCCAACCCCTCGCCGTGCGCTTCAGGCGAGCGGAAGCGGTGCGCTTCGGCGTGCGTCGCCTGCTGCCAGAAGCGCATCCGCTGCGTGATGCTCCGCTGCGGCAGGTGCTCCAACTGCGTCGCCCGCAACATCCCGTGCATCCCCCGCGTCGGGCGGAAGCGCGGCCCTCCGCTCCGCGAGGATCGCGAGGCACGGGAGCGTGCCGTCGCCCTGGCGCTGGAGCGGCAGCAATCGGGCATGTTGGTCGGCAGCCAGGACTCGCTCGGCTCCCGCCCGGGCGGCTTCCCCGGCGTCCCGTCGATGCCCGTGCCGCTCTCGGCGTTGCAGCAAGCGCAGCTCGTCGCCCTCTCCGCCGCCAGCCAGCCACCGCAGCCGGTGGCGATGCTGCAGATGATGGCGCACCTGCAGGCGATGCAGCAGGCGCAGAGCTCCTACTCTGGCTCGCCGCTCGGGCAGCACGCCCCCTCGCCGCGGCAGTCGCCGCAGATGGCGACCGGCCAGCAGATGCCGACCACACCACAGCAGGCGCAGGCAGCGCAGCAGGCGCAGGCAGCGCAGCAGGCGCAGGCAGAGCAGGAGGCGCAGGAGGCGCAGGCGATGCTGACGCAGCAGGGCCAGGCGCAGGCGCAGGCGCAGCAGGTGGGGCGGGGCTAGTTCTGATGGTTCATCGTCTCGGACTAACTCCACAACTCATCCATAGGCGCAGCAGCAGGCCGCAGCCCAGGCGGCACACCAACAAGCAGCAGCACAGCTGCTGATGGCGCAGCGGCAGGCTCAGGCCCAGGCGATATTGGCGCAGCAAGCGCAGGCGCAGCACGCGCAGCAGACGCAGCTCTCGTTTGACTCTCTTCGTTTCATTGCGAGCGGTAGTGGACATCTGCGAGGGCCGGGAGAGCTGAACCCTGACTGAATTGCCGCCTGGCACGGTTGTTTCCGATAGTAGTAGCCTCGTCCCTCGAGAAGTGTCGGCCAGTGCTCAAGTGCTTCAGTGAAATAGCTGGCGCATCAATTCTTTTTTTGCGTGCCTTTCGCCAGATTCCACCCCAATGCTGGCGCAACGGGGAGCGCAAGAGCGATCGCCAGGCCGCCCTCGACGCAGACACGCGCGAGGTCCAAAAGAAGGCCGACCGCGAGAAGAGGCGCCTCCGACTCGGACACAGCGACGAGAGGAGGCGGAATGAGAGTGAGCGTGACGAGAGGGAGAAGGCCCGGAGTCTGCGCGCGGCGGAGAGCGAGGAGCGGAGACGCAAGAGCCTGCTCGAGATGCAGCAGCAGCAAGCGTCGCCGCCGCCTCCGCCGCCCCCCATCACTTGAGGTGCCGTTTGCTTGCGACCACAGCACAAGTCGCGAGGGACAAGCGCTCGCGCAGTGTACATCGCAGGTGCCCCTCCTCCCCGAGTCCGAGCACGTATGCCCGCCGCCTCCGCGTGCCTCGACCCCGCGCCCGCCGCCACTCCTTCTCCGTAGCGCGCTCGCCCTCACGTACGAGCAACGCTCCCAGCGAGCATGGCCACATGACTGATCTCCGGGTCTGCGCATCGACTGACCCCGCGTCGGTCACCGTTGGACCCGATGACGGAAACTCACACGCACGCGCACATCCCAGCAGCCGGCTCGAGCGTAGAGGATCGAACGCCCGCGCCCTCCGACGCACGCGCAGGACCCGCGCCTCCGAGATGGGCTGCCCCGTGATCCACTCGCCGGCCGCCGCCGAGACCGCCTCCGCCGCCGCGGCCGCCCAGACGTCCGGCGGCGACTCTGCGGCGGCGGCGGCGGGCTCGGCGAGCACGAGCGGCTGCCCGGTGCACGCGAGAGGCTCGCCGGCGGGCGAGCGGCTCAACCCCGACAACGCGATGCCGGCGGTGGCGAACCAGCTTCCCGCGGCTGGGCAGCGGCTGCCGCTGTCAAAGGAGAGGGTGGAGTCGACGATCCCGCAGGCAGGTGCGGAGGGGGGCCACTGGGTGTACCCGTCGGCGCAGATGTTTTACAACGCGATGCGCCGGAAGGGCTTCGAGCCGCAAGAGGAGGACATGCGCACCGTCGTCGCCATCCACAACACTGTCAACGAGCGCACGTGGCGCGAGATCACCCCGAGATCACCCCGAGAGTACCCGGAGATTGCCCGAGATTACCGCAATGCCCTGTGTAGGCGCGAGATCTTGCTCTGGGAGCGCCACTACCCCGAGTGCGTCGACGACCTCAAGCTGGTGCGGTTCGGCGGCGTGCCCGACGAGCCGACTCCAAAGGCGCGCCTGTTTACCGCCGTCGGCTACAAGCCCCCGTTCGACCGGCATGACTGGGTCGTCTCGCGGTGCGGCAGGGAGGTCCGACCGGGAGATAGGGGGAGATAGGGGGAGATAGGGGGAGATATGGGTCGTCTCGCGGTGCGGCAAGGAGGTCCGACCGGACCCTTGCACTCTGAAGCCGTGCTAGCTCCTGTCGTCTAGACGTGGAGTCGCGAGGGCTAGCCTGGCCCGCTACCTCATCGACTACTCAACGCGTGAATTAATGAGTTGATTAATTGATCACTAATTACCTTAGGTCCGCTACCTCATCGACTACTACAACGCGAGGCCCATCGCCGGCAAGCCGGTCGCCGCTAGTCCGAGATAGCCGAGCCACAGCCGAGACACAGCCGAGATGCAGCCGAGATGCAGCCGAGAATGCAGCCGAGAATACAGCCGAGAGACACAGCCGAGAGACAGCCGAGAGACAGCCGAGAGACACAGCCGAGACACAGCCGAGACACAGCCGAGTTGCAGCCGAGTTGCAGCCGAGAACACAGCCGAGAGACACAGCCGAGAGACACAGCCGAGAGACAGCCGAGAGACAGCCGAGATGCAGCAGGGCGCGACCGGCTTCCCGTCTCTTCACAGCCACGCCGCTGTGAACAGGTCGCGATGCACATCGACGCGCGGCCCGCCGCCGACGACCTGCAGGGGGCGTGGGAGCGAGTGCGCATGCCCTTCCTGCGCTTGTGGAACGCGGGGCGCGGACCCTGACCCACAGAGAGCCCAAAGAGACTCTCGGTTGAGTACCGTACGCGCGACGGCCGCACGCGCACGTTCAACAGGTCGTTGTGCTTGTATGTGTGCTCTTGTAGCTTGGGTAAGGCATCGTGACGCCTCTGCCACAACCGGGAGCGGCCGGGGCTCATAGACTCGGTCGAAAGACCCCAGATTGGCATCCATGCCTCTCTGGACAGGGTGGCCCGCCACAAGGACCCCAGGAATTGCGACTCGCCGCTTTCCTCCCGCTGTGATTCTGTGTGAGCTCTGTGTCTTGTTTTGCCAACACCACCCACCATCCATAGATAGCAGCGCGCCGATCGAAGTCACCTACCTGGTTGCTGGTAAGGTAAGGTAATAAGAGGTAATAGACGTCTCCACACACACAAAGTGGTGGGGCAAGGGGGGGCTCCACGCCCCGGACTCGGGCAGGGGCCCCACGGCATTCAAAGTGCAAGCACCGGCCCGGTGTCGTGGGTGAGCAACCTGGTTGCTGGTGGGGGGAACCGACGTCTATACTGTAACTCGTCAGGGACTGGACTACTTATAGTACACAGCCACACGCACATCGAGACTCTTGCGGCCGACGACCCGCGGAGCTGCGACCGCTGCAAGACGATCCACATCGGATTCGTTGCACTCGCGTGCAAATGCCGAGTGAGGCGGTGCGCCGAGCTCCAAGACCGACTTGAAGATCCACGCGCGCCCCCACCCCATGCACGGCTCCTCGACGAGCGTCGCCTCCGCGGACCGCCGCAGCCTCACATTGGCCGCAAACTCGGCGCCGTGTACGTACACGGGGATGACCTCGCTCTCGCCGCCGACCACGAAGCCAAAGCCGTCGTCCACCGCCTCACCCAGCGCGTGCATCGGCAGCCAAATGTTGACGACCTGCCACAACTCCTCTTCCGGCGGTACATCGGTGGCTGCGCGCGTCGACCACTCGGGAGGCCTCGCGAGGCGGCGGAGCGCGGCGGCACGAGTCGTGTAGTCGACATGCACATGAGGCTGTGGCCGCACGTGCGCTGCGCCTGTGCCGAGAGCGGTGGCGGGAGGGTCTACGCCGCCACCGGCGGCGGTGGCGCGCGACGACGACGCGTATCGTAAGCTCTCACGGATCTCGACCGAATGGCTGGCGAGCGTCCGAAGCTGCCCCCCTTGGGCCGCCAACCTGCTCTCGGCCCACCGGCGCACGATATGCTCGAGCAACTGTGCGGCGCCGTGGCGCTTGCGGACGCCCAAATAGCTGCTCAGCTGCGATTGGATCTCGATGGACGAGAGAGCCTCCCGAGGAAACTCCCCGGGCAAGCCAAGATTGTTCTCCATGTACATGCGCTCGTCGAGTGTGCGTGTGCTCAAATCCTTTAGGGCGATGCCGCGCGCGAGCTGCAGCGCCGCCATCTCCGACGGTGTCAGCGCAATCGGCTCGAACCCAAAGTGGTCAAAGGCGTCGGTGCGTCGGATGCCGGCGGCGGCGCAAGCCGTCTCGAAGGAAGCGATGGGCAGGCGGACCGGCGTCATGTGCTCGTCCTCGTCGGGGTCATAAAAGTCGACATGCTCCACGGTAAAGTGCGAGCCAGAAAAGTCCGGCGAGATCATCTGCAACCTGCCAGACGGCGGCGGACACTGCGGTGGCACCGTTGTGCCAGTGGCGGCCACGCACGTCTTCCGCGCGCTGACATAGACGGTGTCGAAGACGAAAGGCGGCTGTGCATCGGCTGCACCGCTCGAATCACCGCACGCGCGGAGCCACTCGCGGTACGAATCCGACAGCTGGGCGAGGAACCGGTGGAGGAGCGCTTCACCACCTCTCTCGCGCACGCACGCAATCCACGGGTGCCACGGCGCAAGCATCTTGGCATAGTCCTCGACGCCACCGAGCAGGCGGTACGAGCGCCGTTCTCGCCGACACTCGTGCACCACCAGGCCGAGTGCGCTGAGGTACGTTTCCACCGCCGAGGAGTCGGGATCGTACCAGTGCTCCAGATGCCCTAATGGTGCATCCAGAGGAAACGCGTCGATATGTGCAAACGGGAGCGGGGTGCCAGTGTCTTCGTCAAAGAAGCACTTGTGGACGTCGGAGTCGCTGTGGATTAGCAAGAGAACTGGCGCGAACTCGGATGGGTTGGAAGGATACGTCGACAGCCAGAGCAAGCCATCACTACGGAGGACGCGGACAAGGGCGCCGAAAACCGCCGCCTGATCCACGGCATAGTGTGTGGCAGAGAAGGCCTCGATCTTCTTCGGTAGAAGCTGGTTCTGCTGGTTGCCGTTACCCAACCGGCCTTGGTATCCATCGCCCCAGCTCCAGACGGCGCCGTCGGCGTTAGGAGGCGAAGCTCTCGAGCGAAGCTATATATATACCGACGGCTCCAGCCAGAACAGAGATCACGCGCCGCTCCGCAAAGGCCTCGATCTTCTTGGGCAGCAGCTGCGCCGTGGGAGCAAAAAACCGAATGTGTGAGTCTGGTGTGAGTCTGGGTTCCGGCTCCTAGCCGGATAGGGGGTCTGTCGCCACTGACTGGCCCCTCCCAGAAGCCAGATAGGTAGGTAGGTTGGTCTTGTTTCGCCCAAAAGGGCCCTGCAATAGGTAGGTGTGAGTTGTTCTTTTTTCGCTTCGCTGCGAAATAGGTACCTATCTGGGCTAGGACCCGGAACCCCAGGCGAGCCGCGTCGTGGCCAGCTCGTGCGTGGCAGCCGAAAAATGGCGCAGCAGACCCTGGTGTTGTGCACGCCCGACGCCGTCTCGCGCGGGGTGACCTTCGAGATCTCCTCACAGTTCGAGAAGCGTGGCCTCACGATGGTCGCCTGCCGCATGCTGCGCGCCACCACCGCTCAGGCACAGGCGCACGTCGACTGCACAAAGGCAGGCTCCGTTGCGCAGCTCACTAGTGGGCCGGCCGTCGCGACGGTGTGGCAGGGCGCAGGGGCCATCGCCGCTGGCATCGAGATTGCCGGCGCCGCCGGCGGGAGCGACCTCCTCTCCGTCTCGCCGAGCGCGGCGTCAGCGACGCTCGAGATCGCCGTCTGGTTTGGTGCGGACGAGGTGCCGCCGCCCGACTCGAACGGCGCCGCGGCCGCCGCGTCGGGCTCCGTGGCTGCGAGCGCGCCCTCCGCGGACGGCGACGCCGCGGCCGCCGGAGGCAAGTCCAAGGGCCAGCTCAAAAAGGAGGCGGCAAAGGCGGCAAAGGCGGCAAAGAAGGCCGAGGCTAAGGGCGGGACACCCGCGGGCCCCGCCATCTCGACCGAGCCGCCTTCGGGGACGCGCGACTTCTTCCCGGCCGAGATGCGGACGCGCAACTGGCTCTTCGCCAAGTTCCGCGAGACGGCGCGCCAGCTCCTCTCTGCTCCTCCCTGCGCCTCTGCACTCCTCTTGCTCTCTCCGCTCCTCCGCTCCTCCTCCTCTCTGCTCCTCTCTGCTCCTCTCTGCCCCTCTCTGCCCCTCTCTGCTCCTCTCTGCTCCTCTGCTCTCCCTCCTCCACCCTCACTTCTCACCCTCCCCGCACCCTCCCCACACCCTCCCCACACCCTCCCCGCACCCTCCCCACACCCTCCCCACACCCTCCCCACACCCTCCCCACACCCTCCCCACACCCTCCCCGCACCCTCCCCACACCCTCCCCACACCCTCCCCACACCCTCCCCACACCCTCCCCACACCCTCCCCACACCCTCCCCGCAGGCGCGCCAGCTCGCCTTTGTCGAGTACGACGCGCCCGTGCTCGAGGCGGAGCAGCTGTACGTGCGCAAGGGCGGCGAGGAGATCACGCAGCAGATGTACAACTTCACCGACAAGGACGGCAAGGCGGTCTCCCTCCGGCCGGAGATGACGCCGACTCTCGCTCGCATGATCCTCTCGCTCGGCGGCAAGGCGCGCGAGATCCGCCGAGATCCGCCGAGATCCGTCCAGATCCGCCGAGATCCGCCGATAGATCCGCCGAGATCCGCCAAGATCCGCCGAGATCCACCGAGATCCAGATCCGCCGAGGTCACGTCTCCTCTCGCCCGGCCGCAAGGCCCTCCTGCCTGTCACGCGGCCCTTCCCCTCCCGGCCTCCCCCCTCTGGATCTGCCCCCTTCCCTCCCCTCCTTCGCAGGTGCTGCTGCCCGTCAAGTGGTTCTCCATACCGCAGTGCTGGCGCTTCGAGACGGTCCAGCGCGGGCGCAAGCGCGAGCACTTCCAGTGGAACATGGACATCGTCGGCGAGGCGTCGATCGCCGCAGAGGCGCGAGCAGCTCGCCGCCGTCACCTCCCGAGATGGTTCGCACTAGGGTTAGGGTTAGGGTTAGGGTTAGGGTTAGGGTTGGGGTTGGGGTTAGGGTTAGGGTTAGGGTTAGGGTTAGGGTTAGGGTTAGCCCGAGATGGCCCGAGATGGCCCGAGATGGCCCGAGATGACCCGAGATCCGCCAAGAGTAGGCCGAGCTGCTGGCCGGCGTCACGTCATTCTTCAAGAGCGTCGGCGTCACCTCCGCCGACGTCGGCATCAAGGTCAACTCGCGCAAGGTGCTCCGAGAGCAGCCGAGAGCAGCCGAGAGGAGCCGAGAGGAGCCGAGAGGGGCAGTGAGGAGCAGAGAGGAGATGAGAGGAGCCGAGAGCAGCCGAGAGGAGCAGGGAGGAGCCGAGAGGAGCCGAGAGGAGCCGAGAGGCTAGCGCACGACGTACTCGCGCAAGGTGCTCGCGGCGATCCTCAAGATGTACGGCATCGACGATGACAAGTTCGAGGCCGTCTGCGTCATCGTCGACAAGCTCGACAAGATCGGGCCCGACGAGACGGTCCAGCTGCTGCGCGACGCGCAGGCTTGTCTCGACTAGATCTCGACTACATCTCGGGCCGAGCTCGCCCGTCTCTCGGCTCTACTTCGGCTCTACTTCGGCTAGACCCGCTCTACCTCGGCTGTCTCTCGGCTGCGCAGGTGTCGGACGAGGCGGCCCGCAAGATCGTCGCCTCGCTCTCGCTGCGCTCGATCGGCGAGCTGCAGGCGCTGGTCGGAGAGCACCCCCCGTCGCCATCTCTCGGGTAATCTCGGGTGATCTCGGGTGATCTCGGAGCTGCAGGAGCTGGTCGGAGAGCACCCCGTCGCCGCCGACGCGATGCGCGAGATGAAGGAGCTCTTCGCGCTGGCGGAGGCGTACGGCTTCGGCGCCCCGACCCCGCTGTCGCACTCGCGCGAGGGTGCGAGGTGGCAGCGCCTCTTCACGGCAACGGGGTGTGGGCAGGCGACTGGATCCTGTTCGACGCGTCGGTGGTGCGCGGGCTCGCCTACTACACCGGCATCGTCTTCGAGGGCTTCGACCGCAAGGGCGAGCTGCGGGCCATCTGCGGCGGCGGGCGGTACGACGACCTCCCCTCCCCCTCCTCTCCCCTCCTCTCCTTCCCTCCCCTCCCCCCTCCCCTCCCCGCCCCTCCCTCCCTCCCCCCCTCCCCTCCCCCCCCCCTCCCCCAGCTTGACTCACCCCCAGCCCTCCTCTCGACGTGCTCGAGCCTGCTCGAGCCGCCCGGTCTCTCCCTGCCGTCTCTCCCTCCGCAGGTACGACAAGCTCCTCTCGCTGTATGGCTCGCCGACGGTCGTCCCCGCCTGCGGCTTCGGCTTCGGCGACTGCGTCATCATGGAGCTCCTCCAGGAGAAGGGCTTGCTGCCGCACCTCGAGCCGGAGGTGCGAGATCGAGATCGACCGAGATCGGGCCGAGATCGGCTCCGCCCTCGTGCGAATGCACAGCTCCCTCCCCCTCTCTCTCTAGCACTCTCTCTCCTTCCTTCTCGCAGCTCTCCGGCTGTGACTAGGTCGACTTCGTCGTCTGCCCATTCAACGCAGAGATGCGCCTGCACGCTGTCCAGGTGGCGGACATCTGGCGGACATCTCCCCATCTCTCCCCACCTCTCCCCATCTCTCCCCATCTCTCCCCACCTCTCCCCATCTCGCCCCATCTCGCCCCATCTCTCCCCATCTCTCCCCATCTCTCCCAATCTCTCCCCATCTCTCCCCATCTCTCCCCATATCTGCCTGCGCCTGCACGCTGTCCAGGTGGCGGCGACGCTGCGCGCCGCCGGCTACGCCGTCGACGTGCTGCTCGCAAACAAGCGGGCCGACAAGGCATTCAGCTACGCCGACCGCGTCTCCGGCCGGCGGATGGTCTTTGTGGCGCCCGACGAGTGGGACAAGGGCAGCGTGCGCGTCAAGGTGCGAGATTCGCCGAGATGCGATTGGGCCAAGGGCAGAGCTTCCCCAGGACCTCCGCCTCGAGCGGTCCGAGATGACCCTGATGACCCGAGACGACCCGAGATTAGGACCTCCGCCTCGAGCGGTCCGAGGAAGAGAAGCTGGCGGACCGCGGCATCGAGTTGCCGGTGGCGGAGCTAGTCGCAGAGCTGTCTCGCATCGGCGTTGCGCCGCAGCGGGAGGAGCGGGGCGCTTGACACACCGGGGGCGTTGGGCGCGCTGAGTAGGGTAGAAGGGCGAGGGCGGCGCTGCCGCCCACGTGCAGAGGGGAGAACGGGGCTTGCACTGCTTGCTGACGTAGAGGCGGGGGGGGCTGCCACGAGCCAGCGCCAGGCAGACTCGCGTGAGCTGACAGACGCCGCTCCGCGGATCGGAGATGCTTGGCACTGCGGTAATCTACCCCACAAAACCCCAAAAGCAACACGTGAGACGATGTGGAGGCGGCGGCGCGGGCGGCGGCGCTGGCGGCGCGCGGGCGGCCGGCGCGGGCGGCGGCACGGTGGAAGGCGCGGGATGCACTCCAATCACCAATCACCAATCAGACTGGAAAGTGAGTCGGAAGCACGAGATCGACGATGCGGCGAGCATTCTCATGACGCGGACTCGCACATCTTGGGACTGGCTCGGTGGCTGGTGAGTGCGGCAAGGATGAGCGGACTCGCGTGTCCTTCCACAGCTCCTTGCGAACTTCTTCTCCCGCTGCCAAGCGATGTCGATTGTCGTGAATGGTTTCCAGCACTTCTAAGTAGTTCTTAGATTCTTCTAACATCGTTTCCTCAGGGTCAGGCTGTTCCTCGGCTGCATGCGCCAGGATGCTCGTCCACACTTCTTGCCATCTGGGTGGGCGGCAGTGTGGTCCACCCCTGCCGCCCCGATTTCCGAAGTATGCCATCAATTTTAGTTGCCCGCGGTTAAATAAAGGGTGTGGATGCTGAGAACGCTAAGGCCTACGAGGCTCCTCGTAAGCGATCTCGCTGGGTTGACGGAAATCGGGGGACGCGACCCACTTCGCCACAGACGGTCCCGCGCCTCGCCGCTAAGTTTGCGGCACGCCCCGCACCGTCCGCTGTGCAGCGTTTTTTGTCCGGAGTGAACAGTCCAACGCGCTCGTCGGTGGCGGCTTCCCCCAACCTGCGCCGCGCTCGGCGAACCTCGACAGCGCCTTCGGTGGCATGCAGCTCTTTGCGCCTGAAGCCTGGAGAGCAGCTCCTCTGCTGCTCACACACTCTGCACAGTTGACACAGCCTACTGTGCGGCTGCTACAGCTGTGACAGCGATGGGCTCGCCCTCACTGGCCCTCAGTCACTTTTGTGCTGCGGCTTGTGTGAGCGACACTGCTCGGCGACTGCCGGCACACTGTGAGACCATGGGTGTGAGGTCAAACCACGCTCCCAGCGCTTGGTCACATCGGTGGCGCGCGTGCGGTCGGCGAGGGCGTCGTCGGCCATCGTCGCCCGGCGCATCTCGATCGCGTTCAGCAGGTCCGGGTTTTTCTCGGCGAGCTTGTTGCAGCGGTAGAGGAACACCGCATCTTCCTCGTCGTGGAGCGCGAGCGCCGACTCGAGCACGTCGTCTTGCGCACGCTCTATCTCCTTCTCCATCGCGCGGCGCGTACGAGCGCGCTCGGCCTCGAATGACTTCGCGACCGCCGGGTCGAGCGCGGTCTCATGTTTTGTGCCGTCATCGAGCGGCGTACGTACGTAGCGCCGGCGGACTCAGGGCCGTGGCGGCCTTTGAGTCTGGACTGCTTAGCGTTCGGTCCGTTCGATCCCACCCCGCGTGGGCACGCGGCTTCCTGGGGTCAGCCAAAAAATGTTCCAAAAGGTCCAGGCGAGTTGGTCGTCACGTGTGTCCGTCTGGTTGACGTTGCGTGTTTAGTGCGTGTGTTTAGTAGAAGGTGTCCTCTTGTTCAATATGTTTAGTGCCGATGTTTGTTTAGTGCCGAGGAGTGAGAGTGTTCACTGCGCCAACCTCAAACTCCTCTCCTCAAAACATTCCTGTGTGGCGTGGTGGCGTCGGGTCTGAAGAAAAGAAAGAGAAGGGCGGGGCAAACGAGTGGTGGGACACGCCGATTTCTTCTTTTGGAGGGAGTTTTGTTGATGTTGTAAAATTCTTCTTTTGGAGCGAGCAGCACGGGGTGAGCCTCTCGCGCAGAGAGCAGCCAGCGCCCCGCCGTGTGCCTCTCCACCTCGAGCGCCGGCTGCACTCGGCACGCGCGAACGCCTCTCAACCCCCCCCCCCTCTCCACCCACCCACCCCACCCCACCCTGCCCCGCGCTTCTCGACCTTCTTGGGCAGCAGCTGATTCGACAAGTCCTCTCCGTGGCCTAGTCTAGGTAGGCAGCCACCCGCACTCGCCCCTGCCCCAGCCAGCCAGGCAAAACGGTGCCGTCGGCGGTGAGGGCGAGACTGTGGACGAACGCAGCCGACACAGCGACGACGCGCCGCCCAGCCAAGGCCTCGATCTTCTTCCTGAACAGCCGCTAGTGCCGGGCTGTGCGAAAAATAAAGAAAAGGTGCTCATGGTCCTGCAAGGCGCCCGCCTCAATTCCGCTTCCTGTCAGGACATCCGAGCGAACCTGTGACAACTGTGCGTGCCTCCCACGACTTGCCTCTCACATTTCGCGACGCTACAGCCCCGTTGAGCGAGCCCCAGAACCTCTACGCCTCAGACTCGCTCCGCCACCCCAACAGGGACAAAACAACAATGCTCTCGAAGCTGGTCGTTCTCGCCGCCGTCGGTCTCGCCCGCGCATTACCGATCACGCTGGACAAAGAGGAGAAGGCAGTCGCGCCCGCTTGCGCGAGCCCTCTCGAAGCGGGCACTTGCGCGTTCGATGGCCGGGAGGACGACTGCTGCCCTGGCTTCTACCCTCAGGGTGGACCGCTCGGCGGCTGCGAGTGTGTGAAGGAGCCCGTCGCAGACAACCTCGGAGACACCAACGCGGTCGCGTCCGAGGCACTGCCGCCAGGCCCGTACGACTTGAAGGAGTGCCACCCGACGCAGCCGGTCGACCCGGCTAACTTTGGGCCGCCACTCGACCACAACGACCCCGACTGGGACACCGCAGCGCTTCTGCTCAGCAACGCTGTCAAGCCGCCCTTGGCCGGTGGTATCTGCAGCTCAGCAGCTTCTCCGGCCAAGGTCTACCGCCTCCAGAAGGGGATCACCATGCTGCGATCGTACGACAGCTTCTCCGCGGCCTTCACAAGACTCCACCACTGGTGGGTCCTCGACACCCACGAATCGCAGGGGCACCTCATTGGCCGCGAGCGCGACTACCGAGTGGAGACAGCAATCTGCCCGTCGGGGAACTACTCAAGCCCGATTGATCGCCTGGTGGTGTGCACGGTGGAGGCCGGCACCCTGATTGCAGTGGGGACCGGTCAAAGCCTCGACTGCAAGAATGGAGAGGTTGGAAAGGGTCGCGTTGTGATGCCCAAGACGACCGCAAACCAATACTACATCGACTACGCTCCTGGGAATGGAGTCGGCACTGGCACGCCGACGAACCCGGGTCCAGACGAGAACGGCAAGAGGGTCTTCTCAGGGTGTCGCGACTACGCCAGTGCTTTCCAGTGGCAGCCCATTCTGTTCACCGGGAACGTGCCCCTCCCTGGCGGCCTTTGAGTCTGGACTGCTTAGCGTTCGGTCCGTTCGATCCCACCCCGCGTGGGCACGCGGCTTCCTGGGGTCAGCCAAAAATGTTCCAAAAGGTCCAGGCGAGTTGGTCGTCACGTGTGTCCGTCTGGTTGACGTTGCGTGTTTAGTGCGTGTGTTTAGTAGAAGGTGTACAGTGTACTGCGCGTCTGATGAGAGGTCGGCGTAGCGCAGCGTCAGCGGCGCGTCTCCGTACACCTGCGCCCAGCGCATCCACGCCAGCCGCTGCGGGTCGCCGTCGCCGGCGCCGCACTCGCCGCAAGGCGGCCTGTAACCGACATGAAGCATGCACAGCATACGACAGAGGCCGGAGGAGGGAGGGCATGAGAAGGAGAAAGAAGCCAGCAGGAGAGCAGAGGAGGAAGAGGCTCGAGTCACGTGATCGGCCACTGCGTCTCGTCCTCGTCGAACTGGATCAGCGGCGCGAACACGTACAGACGTACTGCGGGTCCGCCTCGGGCCCCGCGCCCGTGTCGAGCCGCGCGTTGCGAGGCGAGAGGCCGAGCTGATCATAGAGCGCCCCAGGCGCGGGGGCCGTCCACGACAGCAGGTCGCGTAGCTCTGCCCTCGCGGCGGTCGCGTTGCTGGCGCCGATGCGTGCGAGCCGCGCAAGAAGGAACTGCTGGTCTGCGAGCGGCGTGTCGATCGTGCCGAGAGACAGGTCTGGGATCTGGCTCTGCAGCACCGCCATCCCGCCCGCCGCGCACCCGCCGCACAGGGAAGCGCTCGCGTTGATCGCCGCCGCAAGCTCGCGCAGCTTCGCCCGCCACCGCTGCGCCTGCGGGTCGGTAAACGGTTCGCGCAGCGTGGCCTCTGCCTGCGCAACCGACGGGCTCGTTGCCGCCGCCGCCACGGCGATCGCCTCATACGCCCGCGCCTCGCGCGCCTGCTCGAAGCGCAGAGGCGCGCTTGCACCGTGGCATCGAAGTACGCCCGGTACACGTGCGACAGCAGCCGCCAGCCGCCCCGCCCGGCCGCGAGCGCGGACTGCTCGAGCTGCTGTGCCGTCGCCAGGCTCGCGAGCACCTGCCGGTTGCTCGCCGCGTCGCCCCGCCAGTTCTGCTCGAGGCCGAACAGGAGGGCGCCGCCGAGGCCCCGAGGTCAGATCCATCTACTCTGTTGATGACAAGACTTGTCTACCGGCTGGAGCCGAGCAGGAGGGCCCGGCGCACAACCCCCTGGTCAACTCACCCACACCGCCTCCAGCTCCACACCCCGTACCAGAGCTTCTCCTCTTCTCCCGCGTCGGGAGGCGAGGCAGTGTGCGAGGGCGCGGATTTGCCATGCGACACTGGCTGCATGTAACGGCAAAGCACTCGGTGTCGAAACACCTCTTCGGACGCGCTCGACTTAGGTCGGCGATGCCGTTCCGTAGAGCGCACGCCATTTGCCGCAATGACGCCGCTCCCGTCCTCTCTCGTCTCACTCTAACGTACTGCCGAACTGCCACTCTGTCACGGCAGTGTCAGCAAAAGTTGGTGCACTCTCTCCTGCGCGTCTTGGAGCGATCCAGCAGCTCGGGGCACGAATCGCGGAACCGGCTCGCGGCGCGCTCGAGCCCGGGGTGGGCACGGCGCAGCACTGCTGGGTCGATCGGCGGCTGCGCCCCGTCGGCTGGCGCCTCCGGCAGCGTAAGGCGCAGCAGCACGACCGGGACCCCGGTCAGCTCGTCGAGAAGCGATCGGACAGCCTCGGCGGCGGAAGAGGCGGCCGCGGCCGCCGCGTCGCCGCCGGCGTCGAAGCGCGAGAGGTCGACCCTCAAGGTTGGCGCCGCCGCCGCGCTGTTTGCCTGCAGCGCCGCCTCGAGCTCCGACGGTGGCGCGACAGCCTCGCCGCACGTGGCGCGGAAGACGCACCTGGCGGCGGTGGCGGTGGCGGTGAGGGCGGTGGCGGTGGCGGTGGCGGCGGTGGCGGTGGCGGTGCGGTGGTGGCGGTGGCGGTGCGGTGGTGGCGGTGAGGGCGGTGGCGGTGAGGGTGGTGGTGGAGGGTGGTGGTGGTGGAGGGTGGCTGCGAGGGTGGCAGTGAGGGTGGCGGTAAGGACTGATGCACAGCGCATCGTCCGCCCGAGGACTCCGAGATTGCAATCTCGGCACGTGGTTGCGCGGGGAGAGGACGCACCGCACGCCGGGGGCGGCGCGCCGCCAGTGCGGCGCGCGGCGCGCGTGGACGTGCCAAAAGCAGCGCGAAGGCAGCCTGCCTGTGGGACACGTCGAGGACACGTCGACGACATGTGTCCCATAGAGCATCTACCGCGAGGGCAGCATGCCCGGCTCGAGGAACCCGTCCAGCACTCCGCCGCAGTCGAGCGCCGGCAGGACCGCGACGCGGCCGGCGAGCTCCGCCAGCCCTCCGAGCGCCGCGTGCAGCGCGTTGAGCTGAGGCCACGGCCGCGGCGCGAGCGGCGACTCGTACGTCGCGTCTGCGAGAGCGAGCCTACGTGAGCGGTACTCTGCCATCTCGGACATCTCCCCATCTCTCCCCATCTCTCCCCACGTGTCTTTGTGTCTGCCTGCTGCTCCGGTGTGCCCGAATACGTCTCCTTTCGAGCGCTGGCTTGAACACTCGGGTCTCTACTCCGCATCTAGGAGAGCGGGCAGCCGGCGGCCGACCACCGCGGTGGTGTTTGGGGGCGGGCTCCGCCGGCCGTCGGTGCGCAGCCTGCCGGGCAAGACGTACAACGATGACAACATCTCATCGGCGTCGGCGTCGGCGTCATCCTCGCCACGCCTGCCGGACAGGACGTCGGCGCCCGCGCTCCACGCGCCGAAGAGCTGCATTGGGAGGATGCGCGACCGCTGTCCCGGCGCGACACAGACGAAGTGGAGGAGGACGCACGGCGGCGGCGAGGCGCCGTATAGCCAGTGCTTGTACCTGAGATGTGGGGAGATATGGGGAGATGTGGTGCGAGGCGCCGTATAGCCAGTGCTTGTGCCTGAGATGTGGGGAGATATGGGGAGATGTGGTGCGAGGCGCCGTATAGCCAGTGCTTGTACCTGAGATGTGGGGAGATATGGGGAGATGTGGTGCGAGGCGCCGTATAGCCAGTGCTTGTACCTGAGATGTGGGGAGATATGGGGAGATGTGGTGCGAGGCGCCGTATAGCCAGTGCTTGTACCTGAGATGTGGGGAGATATGGGGAGATGTGGTGCGAGGCGCCGTATAGCCAGTGCTTGTGCCTGAGACGACCCGAGAGCAGCCGAGAGGAGCCGAGGTGAGCCGAGAGGAGCAGAGGGGCTGCACGGGCTAAAAACGTCTTGCACCGGTGGCCGAAGGCGTTGTCCGCAGAGACGAGCCACGGCGGTGCAAGCAGGATCCGCTCCTCGGGCACCTGCTCTCACACCACCAGCCGTGAATGGCGCCTGGTTCCTCGGCGGTCTCTTCACAGCGGCCGCCCCCTCGCTCACCGGCCGCCAGAGAGACGCGTCGGCGCCGACAGCGGCACGGCGGAGCGACCAGTAGCGGTACTCCGCACGGTGCGGGAACCACGGCGGGCGGACGGACAGGCCGGGCGGCGCCGCAGCCTCTCCCCGCCTCCACGTCTTGAGGACGTCTCCGAGCCGGCGCAGCTCCGCCGCGTGGGTGCGCGACCACTCTCCGCCGCCGAGAAAGGACCGGCCGGCGGGGTCGGGCAGGGAGAGGGCGTGGTTCGCCATGGCGGAGAGGAGGGCCTTGTTGAAGAGGTTCTGGTCCCAGAAGAGGCCGGGCAGCGAGCCGTACGGCACCTGCAGAAAGGCTCCGAGAGGGCTCCGAGAGGGTACCAAAGGAGGGAGGAGGAGGCGGGGCGAGAACACGAGTGACTCACCTTCTGTGGCGGAGGCATCGCGAGCGCAGCCTCGACCCTCCGCTCCATCTCGAGCATGATCGAGTGCACCGGCCCGCCGGCGGTCGCATTGTTGAAGTAGACGATGCCGACGTTGACGTTTGCGAAGCCGCCCTTTGTGTCAAACGCGGCGACGAGGGCGAAGCGGCGGAAAGCGCCGTGGAGGTGGGGGTACGGCGAGGAGAAGACGGCGACATCCGAGTCGAGGGCGAGCACGTTGACGCGCGCCTACGTGGAGGAGGCCCGGGGAAGTCTCATTGGAAGAATCGGCGAGGAACCGCTTAGAGCACCGGAAAACAACGATGCCTCGAGCAGCCGCCGCATCGTCCGCCACTTTGCGAGCCAGTGGCGGTAGTTGCTGTCCGCCATGCCCCACGCGGCGGCCGCCGCGGCCATCGCGGCGGACTTGGTAGCGTTTGGGCGGGTCGCCGCGAGCGGGGAGGGCGGGAGGAGGTGCGACGAGTGGGCACAGCCAACCGCGCCATTCCGATTCCGACGGAGGCGCTCGCACATGTCTGGCGTGAAGGCGAGGAGAAGGATGTGGTCAATGTCGAGCCCGTTGAGCTGCGCGATGAGGTTGAGCAGCAGCCGGCGCCGCTTGCTGTTGCCGTGCAGGAGCACCAGCTCGCCGCGAAGGCTGGTCGTTCTCACCATCCTCTCCAGCGCTCCCGGCGCCTCGAGGTCGCCGTAAAATGCGCCGCGCGTGCGCGGCGTGGCTGGCAAGGCCATCGCTCTCGTGAGCATGCTTCCCGCGAGGGATGTGAGCCCGGAGCGGGTAGAGACGCCTCGCCTCCGCCGCAGATAACCGGCGGGCGGACATCGCGAAGAATGAAGAAAAAAACTCCTCGGGTCGCCTCTTCGCCAACGTGGAAATTCAGTTGTCAGATGTCACGATGCATCCGAAGGGGACCCCAGCGCCGGCATCATCCGTAGAGGCACGAGTGTTCGAAGAGAGAGTGGACCTGAGCAACAACATGACTTGGAGGCAAATGATCGGAGTGGGAGTCAGAAATGTGGTCCTTGCGCGAGGGGAGCTCGATAGACTCGAGGGGCCAGGATACGCCGCAAGGAGGACGGAGTTGCGCCGAGAGGCGAAAGAAGCCGCGAGAACAAGGGACCGGCAGGCGGCGGCGTCGCAGGACGAGGCAGAAGAGAATGACGCGACAGAGGAGGAAGTGACAAGGGAGAGAACGACGAGAGTGGGACAGCCGCGAGGTGGCATGAAGGTTGCAGCGAGAAGCGGCGAGAGACTGCGAAAAGAGATACGAGGAGGCAGACCCCCCAGGGTGGGCGACGGCTAGCGCATCACACCCTCCTCTCCTTAAAATCCCTGTGTGGTGGCGGCGTGCCGTTCTCCCATCCCTCCCTTGGGTTGTGTGTTTTCTTTCTTTCTTTCTTTCTTTCGCCAACGTGGCCAAGGCCGAAGAAAGGTGCGGCTGCTCGGGCATCTCTCTCTCTCTCTCTCTCTCTCTCTCTCTCTCTCTCTCTCTCTCTCTCTCTCTCTCTCTCTCTCTCTCTCTCTCTCTCTCTCTCTCTCTCTTCGTTTTCGGGGCTCTCGCCTCGCCCGAGAGAGAGAGAGAGAGAGAGAGAGAGAGAGAGAGAGAGAGAGAGAGAGAGAGAGAGAGAGAGAGAGAGAGAGAGAGAGAGATTTGAAAACCAACAAGAAATCACGACTCTCACAGTGAATTGGGCTCGGCAGCGTGTCAGCCCTCAGCCGAAGCTGGGGCCGGTCCCGTAGCCGAGAGCGCCCGGGCTCTCTCTCTAAAAGAAATGAGAGCGGAAGCCGACATCATGATGGTGTGTGCGCGACGTCGCTCTTTTGGCGCAGATACCGGCATGGCAGAATAAGCGCGCGCGCCCTCGGCGGTCCCGCCAACCGAGTACGGAAGTGGACGCGTCCCTGCATCATCCCCAAGGACGACTCGTCACGCACAGCCACCTCCTTCCGCCCAAGCATGCTCTCGATCATCGCCACGTACTCCGCCCCGGTCCCGCTCCACGGACGCGAGCTCACCGCCGGGTGGCAAGCCTACATGAACCAGGGCCTTCAGACGGGCGCCGCCTACGCCGGCACCGGCGCTTCGGGCGAGGGCTCCTTTGACGACCTCAACGCTCAGACCGCGGACGCCTTCAGCGCGCTCAACCACCAGGGCGAGCCCGCCGCCGCCGCCGCCTCGCCGTCCGCCGCCTCAGCGTCCACCGCCGCCTCGCCGGCCTCCACCATCGGGACCGACGTCACCTCTGCCGTCGCCACGCCGATCGTCTCCTCGACCGACGCCTTCACCGCCGGCATCATCTCGGTCGTCGACTCGCTCACCGCGGCGCTCGGCTCGCCCGCCGCCTCGAGCGCCGCGCCCGCCTCCGCCGCCGCGCCCGCCTCGCCCTCCTCGTCCGGCGCCGCCTCGGCTCCCCACTTTGCGGGCTGGCAGGCGTACATGAACCAGGGCATCGCCACCGGCCTCCAGTACGCCAACGCGGGCGCCGGAGTCGCCGCCGGCACCACCGACCCGGCGACGGGCTTCAACGACCTCAATGCCGCGACGGCCGACAGCTTCGACGCCCTCAACCACGGCGCGCCGCTCGCCGAGCAGGACGGCGGGGAGCGGCGCAAGCTCGCCGCCGCCGCGCCGGAGGAGAAGGTGTGGACGGGCGCGTGGAGCGACCACCACGCGGAGGCGGGCGGCAAGGAGACCACCTCGCCGCTCGGCGCCGCCAACGTCGGCACCTCCTCCCTCGAGCACGCCGCCACGACCGGCTTCGCGCACGGCGCGTCCCACGTCATCGGCGCCAACACCCACGGCGCGACCGACGACCACGCCGCCAACTCGGACATCCTCTCGACCGACAAGTACCTGGGCACGCCGGGGCACCAGAACGACTGGACGCAGTACCTGCCGGTCGTGCCCGGCAACAACGACGGCGGCTACCTCGGCGGCGAGGTTGTGCAGGACGAGTCGCAGGTGTCGGGCTACGTCGGCGGCTCCTACTACCCGTACCCCGCCGCCCCCGCCGAGTACGCCACCGTCGGGCCGATCTACGCGGGCAAGTACACCGCGGCGGGCCTCGAGACGGTCGCGGGCTGGGCCACGGGCGCCGACTTCAACGAGGAGGGCATGCCGGAGGGGACGGCGAACCGGTTCCTCGAGCTCGACACGCAGCTGCTGGACGACTTTGACAAGCTGAACCGCGGCGGCTCGGTGCTCGGCCGCTGACCTGAGCCGGGGTGCTACCATCGATGTGTGTACTACTCTAGGGAGCGGTCTAGTCCCGTGGTGGGTGCTCGATTCCTTTGTGTACAACGAACTATAAACACATGACGCACCTCAAACGCGCCGCCCGCGCGCGACCCTCTCGGCCACAAAACTCCTTCGTCACGACATCGTTCAACGGAGGACGCGCACCCCAGAGTACTAGAGACCCCACCCCGTGGTTGTGCGACGGTGTATCAGTCGCCTTATGCCACCGTTGCATATCCGGATATGCAACGGTGGCATAAGGCGCGACTGATACACCGTCGCAAAACTGCACATTCCTGGGTCGTGCGGAGATGCATCCGGTTTGGGTACCGGCGGATAGCAGGTGAACGCTAAGGTGGGTTTCGAACCAGTGACAACGCCCGTCTGGGTTTTTTGCGCCGAGTCGAACTGCGGGATTCGAACTCGAGACCCGACGTGCAGTTTTGCGACGGTGTATCAGTCGCCTCGTTATGCCACCGTTGCATATCCCCACCGTTGCATATCCGGATATGCAACGGTGGCATAAGGCGACTGAGGGTATGCAACGGTGGCATAAGGCGACTGATACACCGTCGCAGGTTGCCACTGCGCCAACGTGGCTTGCACGCGGGCTAAGCCGCCTCTCCCGTGCCTTGGCCTTCGCAGCGGCAAGTGACGCGCGCCTCGCCTTGGCGGCGGCGAGGGAGCGCCGCCTCTGCCGCCTCAAATGCCGCCTCGGGGCCGCGGAGCCTGCCGCCTCGGCCGCCTCCTCGTCCTCCTCCGCTGCGCGGCAGCCTCCTCCTCCTCTGCCGCTGCCACAACCGCAGCCTCCACCTCCGCCTCCGCTGCCGCCTCTGTTGCCGCTGCCGCCTCCGCTGCCGCCTCCTCGCCCGCCTCCGCGGTCTCCTCCTCGCTCGCCTCGCTCGCCTCGCTCGTCGCCTCTCCCAACGCCTCCGCCAGCCCCTCGACCAGCGTCTCCACCGTAAATAATGCCGAATGGAATCCTCTCCTCGTTGAGCGTCTCGAGAAGCAGGAGAAGCCTCGCCTCCTCGGCCTTCTTCGCCGCCTCAGCTGCGGCTGCCTCCTCCTCCGCCAGCGCCTCGGGCTCCTGCGACGGCCCAGCGCCGCCGCTCCCGCCTTCTTCTTCTTCTTCTTGCCCTTCTCCTGGGGTGTCGACGGGCCCCCGGGGGCGACGGGGGTGCTCTTGGGGGGGGTCCCCCCAGTCAAGGGGGTCTGGGGCGCAGCCCCAGGAAGCCCGCCGCAGGCGCCGACTTTTTCGGGCTTTTTGACTGATTTTCATGAGGTGTTGCTACTATTTTGGGACCAGTTGAAGCCTAAAAATGGCTACAAATACAGCCACAACAGCGGCTAGTCGTGCGCTGCTACTGTGTGGCAGAGCCCATAGAGAGGGCTTTCAGGAGCACTATTCAGTTTGATCCAGCTCAACGTTGCGGAGTAGTAAGACTGTTCCGTTACCGTGAGCGGCCGGCGGCCGGCGGCGGCCGGTGCGGCACGCGGAGCACTCCGTGAGCTGTGACGGGTGCGGACGAGCGAATGAGAGGTCCCTTTCAGTGAGAGATAGGCAGCCCTAGTCTCTAATAACACATCTCCCACAGATAGCGACCTCTCATTCGCTCGTCCGCGCCCGCCACTGCTAGTCGGGGCACTCCCGGCGTGCGGCCCGGTCCCGGTCGTCACTCCGGTTGCTCGTGTTCACACCGTCAGAACTCAGCTCCGCTAAGGATCCAGCGTCTGAGACTTGGGCATCTTACACAACTTTTGTAGTAGAGCACAATGGCACCCTTGCATCAAGTGCATCACTTCGTTGATACCGTATATACCGACCCCCGTTTTCGGCCGCCGCGGGCGGAGAGCACCCCCGTCGCCCCCGGGGGCCCGTCGACACCCCAGGGCCCTTCTTGCCCTTGGCGCGCTTCTCCGCCTCGACCTCCGCCAGCGCTCCTCGGCATGCCGTGCCGCCTCCGCCTCCGGCGCCGCCCGCTCCGCCTCCCTCGCTGCCGCCCCCTCAGCACACACTGCTTCCTTTGCCGCCGTCGCGGGCGCGCCCTTTGCCGCCGCATGCACTCTCTGCAGCATGCGGCAAAGGGGTGGCTCCCTCGAGGGCACGCACTCACTCGCTGTGGCCCTGCTTCTTGGCGAACCCCAGCGCTGTGTCTCCAGACACCGAGCGCAGCTTCGCGTCGGCGCCCGCCCGCAGCAAGCGGAGCACGACGGCGGGATAATTGTTGAAGGCGGCGAGCATCAGCGCGGTATGGTCCTTGCAGTCCTGCAAGTTGATCTCTGCCCCGTGCTGCAGCAGCAGCTCGGCCACCTGTTTGTGGCCGTTCCTTGCGGCTAGGATCAGCGCGGTGCCATTCTCATTGTTCTGAAGGTCGACCGACGCGCCACGCTGCAGCAGCTGCGCGGCCAGGAGCCGCTCGTGTGGCCGTAGGCGGCGGCGAGAAAGTATCAGTACGAACCGCATTGCCGCTCACACTCATATGAGTGAACGTCGCGTCCACCCGCCCGCCGCCGTCGAGCCACACCAGCACCGCATCGTCGCCTTGCACAGCCGCCTCCACGACCTCGTCGGGGATGGCGCCCTCGCCCGTTCCGCTCTCCGCGCGCCGCCGGAAAAGGACGCGGCAGCTGCTGCCTCCGCTGCCCCGTTGCCCGAGGCCGGGCATCGCAGACCGCCCCTTCGCCGCCCGCCTCTCCGACTTCCTCGGGAACAGGCCCGCTGCTGCCACCCTGGCCGCCCGAACCGCTGACAACTTTCGCCCGCCTCGACCGCCGCCGCCTCGCCCCTCCCCGCTGCCACCTCGCGGCGCCCGATGCGCTGCCGTGTGCCCCGAGCGAGGGGTCGCGCGCGGGCGGCGCGTTTGAGGTCATGTGTTTATAGTTCGTTGTACACAAAGGAATCGAGCACCCACCACGGGACTAGACCGCTCCCTAGAGTAGTACACATATCGATGGTAGCACCCCGGCTCAGGTCAGCGGCCGAGCACCGAGCCGCCGCGGTTCAGCTTGTCAAAGTCGTCCAGCAGCTGCGTGTCGAGCTCGAGGAACCGGTTCGCCGTCCCCTCCGGCATGCCCTCCTCGTTGAAGTCGGCGCCCGTGGCCCAGCCCGCGACCGTCTCGAGGCCCGCCGCGGTGTACTTGCCCGCGTAGATCGGCCCGACGGTGGCGTACTCGGCGGGGGCGGCGGGGTACGGGTAGTAGGAGCCGCCGACGTAGCCCGACACCTGCGACTCGTCCTGCACAACCTCGCCGCCGAGGTAGCCGCCGTCGTTGTTGCCGGGCACGACCGGCAGGTACTGCGTCCAGTCGTTCTGGTGCCCCGGCGTGCCCAGGTACTTGTCGGTCGAGAGGATGTCCGAGTTGGCGGCGTGGTCGTCGGTCGCGCCGTGGGTGTTGGCGCCGATGACGTGGGACGCGCCGTGCGCGAAGCCGGTCGTGGCGGCGTGCTCGAGGGAGGAGGTGCCGACGTTGGCGGCGCCGAGCGGCGAGGTGGTCTCCTTGCCGCCCGCCTCCGCGTGGTGGTCGCTCCACGCGCCCGTCCACACCTTCTCCTCCGGCGCGGCGGCGGCGAGCTTGCGCCGCTCCCCGCCGTCCTGCTCGGCGAGCGGCGCGCCGTGGTTGAGGGCGTCGAAGCTGTCGGCCGTCGCGGCGTTGAGGTCGTTGAAGCCCGTCGCCGGGTCGGTGGTGCCGGCGGCGACTCCGGCGCCCGCGTTGGCGTACTGGAGGCCGGTGGCGATGCCCTGGTTCATGTACGCCTGCCAGCCCGCAAAGTGGGGAGCCGAGGCGGCGCCGGACGAGGAGGGCGAGGCGGGCGCGGCGGCGGAGGCGGGCGCGGCGGCGGAGGCGGGCGCGGCGCTCGAGGCGGCGGGCGAGCCGAGCGCCGCGGTGAGCGAGTCGACGACCGAGATGATGCCGGCGGTGAAGGCGTCGGTCGAGGAGACGATCGGCGTGGCGACGGCAGAGGTGACGTCGGTCCCGATGGTGGAGGCCGGCGAGGCGGCGGTGGACGCTGAGGCGGCGGACGGCGAGGCGGCGGCGGCGGCGGGCTCGCCCTGGTGGTTGAGCGCGCTGAAGGCGTCCGCGGTCTGAGCGTTGAGGTCGTCAAAGGAGCCCTCGCCCGAAGCGCCGGTGCCGGCGTAGGCGGCGCCCGTCTGAAGGCCCTGGTTCATGTAGGCTTGCCACCCGGCGGTGAGCTCGCGTCCGTGGAGCGGGACCGGGGCGGAGTACGTGGCGATGATCGAGAGCATGCTTGGGCGGAAGGAGGTGGCTGTGCGTGACGAGTCGTCCTTGGGGATGATGCAGGGACGCGTCCACTTCCGTACTCGGTTGGCGGGACCGCCGAGGGCGCGCGCGCTTATTCTGCCATGCCGGTATCTGCGCCAAAAGAGCGACGTCGCGCACACACCATCATGATGTCGGCTTCCGCTCTCATTTCTTTTAGAGAGAGAGCCCGGGCGCTCTCGGCTACGGGACCGGCCCCAGCTTCGGCTGAGGGCTGACACGCTGCCGAGCCCAATTCACTGTGAGAGTCGTGATTTCTTGTTGGTTTTCAAATCTCTCTCTCTCTCTCTCTCTCTCTCTCTCTCTCTCTCTCTCTCTCTCTCTCTCTCTCTCTCTCTCTCTCTCTCTCTCTCTCTCTCTCTCTCTCTCTCTCTCTCTCTCTCTCTCTCTCTCTCTCTCTCTCTCTCTCTCTCTCTCTTCGTTTTCGGGGCTCTCGCCTCGCCCGAGAGAGAGAGAGAGAGAGAGAGAGAGAGAGAGAGAGAGAGAGAGAGAGAGAGAGAGAGAGAGATGCCCGAGCAGCCGCACCTTTCTTCGGCCTTGGCCACGTTGGCGAAGAGGCGACCATTTGCTGAGTTTTTTTCTTCATTCTTCGCGATGTCCGCCCGCCGGTTATCTGCGGCGGAGGCGAGGCGTCTCTACCCGCTCCGCGCTCCGGGCTCACATCCCTCGCGGGAAGCATGCTCACGAGAGCGATGGCTTTGAGGCCTCTTCGGGTTGAGGAGCGAAAGCATCCATCTTTCTCACCTTTCTCGGGTCCCTCCGGACCAGTACATGTGGGGAAAGAAGAAAACGCCGTGTTTTCGCCCCTGGCCCTGCAGTCTTATACGGCGGGATATACGGCGGGATACGGCGCGGGATATGGCGGGATATGACGAGATACGGTCAGATTTGGCGAGATACATCTCAAGATACCGCAAAGAAAAAGAACTCGCCCAAAAGGCTCATATTCAAATCACAAAAATGTGTGTGATTTGTCAGAGTATTTTACAAAGTTTTACCCTCTCACTGTGGGTTAAGAGCATAGAGTTGTTTGGTATCGCTACAAATCTCTCTCTCAAAAGAAGCGGTCCCTCTCACACGGAACACACGCACATCTTGCGCTCAGCCCATGCCGCCGCCCTCGGTGCGCGCCCATGCCGTCGCCCAGACGCGTGAGCAGCGCGCGTGTCACAAGACTGGCTCGCCGCGCACCCACACTGGAGTCAAAGTTTAAGGAGGCCGAGCTGTCCTCGCATTGTCGAGCGTTGCGAGGCTCTGCAGCAGCTGCAGCGAGTGCTGGCTTCCAGCCACCTGCTGCTTCTCCGCGCACGCGTCTCACACGCCACTCAGTGCAAACATCGAGTCAACGGTGCTGTTGACATTGTCCAAGCTGCGGCTGCTTGTGGCGATGAGAAGCTGCCCGCCGAAAACATTCATCGCAAACACGAATTCGCCTGGGCGCTGCAGCTGTGGTCGTAAGTCATACACCTGCAGCTGATCGCCCTCTGGTGTCAGCACAAAGACGCGCGTCCCTGCCAGATACCGCTCTGCGGTCACCTCCTCGCTCTCGTCGACCTCACCGTTCTCATCGAGATGTGGAAACTCGTCGTTGTACTCGAGCAGGTACAGGCGCCGCATGAAGTAGCGGAGCACGTGCGGCACTCGAAACGCACCCGTGATCTGGCGCAGCGGCTCGCCGGTGAAGGAAAAGACGCGTATGCTGCAGTCCGGCTCGTGGCCGACATACAGCTCCTTGCCAACGACAGCCATCCCATGCAGAGCACCACTCTGAAAGTCGCCAAACGTCAAGCGCGTCTCGAGCGTGCCCGGGTCCAGCGCGACGATCCACTCTCTTTCCTCCATCCTCTCCACCGCGAAGGATGGAGCGGACCAACAGGGGCGAGAGCGAGACCGAAGAACGAGAATGGCGCGGATGGAGCGCGCGCTGCTACCATGGAGTAGTCCGTCACCCGATACGATCGAATGTCACCGCCACAGCTGAAGATGCGGCCGTTGCCCGCTGCGAGGCGCCACGAAGGTTGGTGACTGCAGTGCAGGGTGAGCGGCTGGCAGTCGGAGCTCGGGTCGAGAATTGCGTGCATGTTGACGATGACGCGCATCCCGTCAGCACCAGCACCAGCGCCCATCCCTCTTGTGGAGGCAAGGCAGAGCCGCTCGTCATCCAGAGCGATGATGTCGTTCACGTGTGTATCATGCGGCATCAGCACGGGCGGGCTCACCTACCTCCGCAGCCCACGACGTACCGTATCCGTCGCCCACCACTCGGCATGCCACGTGCTGCACACGCGCCTCGCCTGGCGGTGCTTGACATCAAGCAGGGCCATTATGGACGCCAGCAAATCGAATAGCACGCTGTGCATGAGCTCCTGGAGCTGCTCGCGCGACATCATGGGCACCTCCTCGTCTGCATCTGCGTGCCGAGCGAGAAGCTCGTCCATCTCGGCTTGGACGGCAGCGGCGACGCGCTCGGCGAGCGTTTGATCGCTCGAGCTGGCAACCGCCGTGCGCTGCCGTTCAGTATCCATCAGTGATCAGTGTCCTCCATCTCGAGCTGCGCGGCGCGTTTGCCCGAGTTTCTTTTTTGTGGGGTGTTCTTCTCAACTCAGAAGAAAAGATTTTTCAAAAGAAAATGCCTCCCTCACGTGTGGTTGTGAACTCTGTGCAATTTCGGGCCCGGGCTTGTTTTGTTACCCCCCGCCCATCACGCACGTACCATGGTACGTATTGCATCATTCGAGGCATCGTCAACATGCAAAGAGCGGGCGACTCACAACGTCACAAGACACGGGCTGATCAGGCCCATACTTTTGATAGGCTTTAGGGGTATTTTGTGTATCTCTGTGCATCGTCTCTCAGGGAGCGACGCGGCTACTGATGTCGCTTCTCGCCTGCGCCATGTCCCGCCATTCGGTCAAGTTGTAGTTGTAGTTGTTGTTGTGATGTACTTGAGTTCATCTGGCAGTCGATCTTCTTGTGTATGCAGAATGATTGCAGGAATGGACAGATAAATCTACATGCCGATGGTCGCCACAGTTGCCATCCCAACAAGGCCTCGTCCGGAATCGCATCACGCATCGCATGCGGCGGGATGAAGGGCGCGTTCGCAAACGCACGAGGCAAGAAGTTGCACATATCGATGTCCGAGGAGGTGCGCGCTTCCATCTTTGAGCATCCGCCTCCCTGCCCCGTCCGATTTCCCAATGAGAAGCAGCGGAGGCGGTCGGACAGCGCCTCCTTGATGGCCGTGTCGTTCGGCAAGACCAGGGTATCATGCTCCATGTACAGAGACTTTTGAATTGCGGCGCCAACTGCGAATGTGAGGTGATCGTTGAAGGGTAAGGCGGTGAGCGAGATCGCAGCACCTGTGATGGACGAGCAGTTGGGCTGGGATTCGTAGAAGTCCACGAGGACAGTCTTTGCTGTTCGAATTCCTTCCTCAAAGTTGCGAACTGGCGCATCATAGCCGCCCGCAGTGTACAAATCTGTATCTAGGAGGACATTGTACTTCCTCCAGACTCGGTCGCTCAAGAACTGCCTGCCAATCGTCTCCCAAGCCCTCCGAGCCACGTCCACGCGGGGCACAATTGACCGTGTAGATCGGCCGCGGTGTGTGTGCCTCGACAAGAACAGATTGAATGCCTTTTGGGCAACCCCAGGAGACAATGAGGCTCGCTGCTTTGCAAGGACCCTGTAGGCATTTCGGTGCGTACTTCGGTTGAAAGACCACATTAGGCGGGCTCGTCGCCGATCAATCACGTCAAAGTTAATACCCGATGCACGCAACGCGCGCGAGATTCGCTTGAGTCTTGCTTCCCCCCTCGGACCGGTGAAGCGGTTCACGACCATGACGCGAACCTCACTTAGGTTGACATGCTCAGGGTCAACAAATGTGATGCCACGTGCGTCCCCGTCGCCAGGGTCTCGTGCGCCTTCGGCACGCATGTAGTTGTATATCATCCCATAATCCTCGAGGAAGCGCGAGTGAAAGCCAAGATGGCCGACCTCCACATCATTGATGTTTGCCCCGGTGCGTGTGATACCCCCGTAGCTTGCAATGTGCCCCGAAACCAGACTTGCCGAAGCAGGACCCACGATGGACCCAAATGACTCTTCTGAGAGGGCGAAGGGAAACGCGCCAATGGCCGCGCCAGCAGCCGATCCGCAGGACGAGCCGGACCCGTGGCCGTTGAGATACGGAGAGATGCACATGCCCCACCCGTGAACGCCTGCCTCATCCATTGCCAAAGGCGTCATGGTTGTCTTCGCAAGCGGTATGGCACCGTAATTGATCAATTGGTGGACAACAGTCGACGCCCTATGCTCACGGTGCGCGCCGTATAGCACGTGGCCATAGGTGGTCGGCTCGTCATAGACCTGGTGATGATCCTTGACGCCGAACGGAATGCACATCAGCGGGCCTCGATCCAATCCACGACTGAGCTGGTCATCCAAGTCGTGCGCCATGTCGATCGCAACCCGGTCGAAGATGTGCATCGCGACCGAGAGAAAGCGGTCCATTTCTCGCAGCCTGTCGAGGAAGGCGCGGACCAGGTTGACGCACGATACTCGTTTCGACCGAAGGAGGCTCGCGAGGTGCTTGATTGGACGATGAATGAGATCCTTAGGCGCTCCGGTGAAAGGAAGCTGACGAGAATCTGGTAGAGAGAAACTGACATCAGAGGGCTTGTTGTGGGATGTCGGCATGGCATGACCCCACGCGCGAGAGACGAAAGAGAAGCTGTCCGCCACCGGGAGCACAGAATCGGTCAAGCCCTCACGCGAGACTCGACCCAGATCCCGCACACGTCCTTGTTCAGCGTGGTTCCCGGAGACCGGGTGGGACGCGAGCAGTATGCTGATTAGCACGATGCGAGGGAACCTGCTAGGGAATAAGGGCAGCCAGCTGGACAGAGGAGAGTGCGTCGGCGGTGTTGATGACATGCTTCTCAAAGGTGTGACCGGCCCGCTCCCTTGTACGTACGTACTTTTAGCCTGTCTGCTGTGAGAGAGAGTTGTTTTGTTTAAATACTTTTAGCTTACTGGGAGAAAAGAGAGAGCAGGTTGCAAGTGCTCCAAGGTTGTGTCTCTCCCTTGTATCGTAAGTACTCCGTACCGGGAATCACAAGGCCCTCCCGCTCGGTCGTCGCCGCAGCCATCGGCTGATGCGGATGCCTCACTGTGGTCTTGTCACCGCCGCAAGCGCCGCACCGCCGCACCGCCCTCGCTACCGCAGCAGCCATGGTCAGGGAAGCCAACAGTGCCACTCCGCCCCCCATGGCCGCACGGGCGCTTGCCGTACCCCGTTCTTCCGGCAGGATGTCCTTGAGAAGGCTGCCCTTCAGCCCCTGCATCTGGCGGTCGGAAGGGGAGGAGGAGGCATACGCACATGCTCTACCCATGCGTGTGGAGGCCATGCACATCGCTTCGGAGGCAGGGGTGCATGTCTATATGCTATGGCGGCACGCGCATACGCATCGTTGCCGCGTCATCTCGCTGCCACGGCTGCCACACGCCAATTGGCGTCTGTGTGTGTGTGCGTGTGCGTGTGTGTGTGTGTGTGTGTGTGTGTGTGTGTGTGTGTGTGTGTGTGTGTGTGTGTGTGTGTGTGTGTGTGTGTGTGTGTGTGTGTGTGCGTGTGTGTGTGTGTGTGTGTGTGTGTGTGTGTGTGTGTGTGTGTGTGTGTGTGTGTGTGTGTGTGTGTGTGTGTCTCCGCCTGGACGGTCTTGTGCAGAGCACTCGCTCGCAGCACCGCGTGCGAGGGGCCACGAACGCGGGGGATACGGTGCAACGCGGCTGCGTCGGTGTGTGCGCGTATTGTGTCTCCCCTCGACCGCTAGTTGGGATACGAGAACACGTCTTCCGCTTCTACCTAGGAGCGCGCGCCGTCATCGCCGCCTCGCCAGCCTTGGGCCGCGACGGAGGAAGGCTGGCGAGGCGGCGCGAGGGTGGGGGGAAGTACGCCTCGACGCCTCGCTGCGTCGCCGCATCGAGCCCGCCGCCGCCGCCGCAGCCTTCAGTAAGCCTGACGGGGCCGAAAGGGCCCGCGCGAGCGAAGCCCCCGCCCCCATCCCCACCCCCATCCCCGCCCAGGTAGTGGCCGTCAAGTCGAGGCGCCGGCAAGGTCAAAGAAAAGAATTTTATATTCCGCTTCCTCGCACTTGGTGTCCAGTCCGAGCCTGGCTGTTCTTCACCTTTCTACCTACCTACCTACAACACTGGGCACAGGACTGGGCACGGGACTGGCGCGCACTGGCACTAACACAGGTACACCACTGGAGCCGCCTAAGCGACTCCGGCGAGGACGGCGAGGCACTTAGCTCCGTGCACTCGACCGCCCTCGCCGTTGGCAAGCTCATTCACAATCTGCTCTGCGATGGCCGTGTGAAGAACGACTGAGATGCGCTGCTTCTGCAGCCCCAGCCAGCTCTTGGTGGTCCAAGTCACCTCATCGAGGTACTGGGCCCGCATCAGCTTGTTCTGCAGCACGTTCGCCGCCTTCCGGAGGATCTCGCCGACCCCCTTCCCGAACCCGCCGAACGACTCGAACAGCAGCAGGTAGTGGCCGGCAGGTAGTGGCCGTCAAGTCGAGGCGCCGGCAAGGTCAAGAAAAGAATTTAAACAAAACAACTCTCTCTCACAGCACACAGGCTCGACACAGGTGCGAACTGGCGCGTGCTAGTACTATCACCGGCACACCACCGGAGCCGCCTAAGCGACTCAAGAAAAGAATTTAGACAAAGACGCGTCACAGCAGACAGGCTCGACACAGGTGCGAACTGGCGCGTGCTATACTATCACAGGCACCCAACCGGAGCAAAGAAAAGAATTCCCGCGAAAAAGAGTTGTTTTTAACCAAGAATTCGCTGCCGCGGTCAAAAGAATTTATCCGGCCTCACTCGCACAAAAGAAAAGAAAGGTACTTACGGGGCCAACCCACGTGTGTTATGGCCCTGCGACCGCGCACCCCCCAGGGTCAGGGCTCTCTAGCCCGCAGCCCGACCCCGAGCATCCGGCCCGCTGGGTGCGCTTCGCTTCTTACTTAGCTCCCCGGCCCTGGGTGTAAGGTTGCCAACTGACTGCACTCCAAGTGCTCCAAGTGCTGCGAAATTTGAGGTCTAGTAAGCACACACACACACACACACACACACACACACACACACACACACACACACACACACACACACACACACACACACACACAGTAAGGTAAGTTCTCCCCACACACGAGGTGGTGGTGGGGCAAGGGGGCGACCGTGTGAAGGAGAATGCGTGCAATTTCGTTTACGTGAACTCTTCTCGCCTCGGGACAAATGCCTGCTCTGCAGCAGCCGCACCTCTTCGTCTTCGGCCTTGGCTACGTCGGCCTGCAGGCCGCGCTCACCGCCCGCGACCTCGGCTGGCGCGTCTCTGGCACCTGCCGGTCAGCCTCGCGCGCCAGCGAGATTGCAGCTGCGACTGGGCTGACGTCTGTGCACGCCTTTGATCTGGACGAGGAGTACGCGGGCCTGACTGAGGCGGGCCTGGCCCAGCTCGCCGATGCGACACACCTCCTCGCGACCGTGCCGCCGGTCGCCGACTTCGACCGCGACCCGCTCCTCGCGCTGCACGCTGAGGAGGTGGAGCGCGCGTGCGGCGGCGCGGACGGGAGGCTGCGGTGGGTGGGCTACCTCTCGACGACGAGCGTGTACGGCGACCACGACGGTGGGTGGGTCGGCGAGCTCGCCGAGACACGCTGCGCGCCCGGCAGCGCCAGCGCGCACCGCCTCGCAGGAGGGCGCCGTCGAGGAGCCCTCGCGGCGAACCTTCTCGGAGCCTTCTCCCACAGGCGCGCACCGTCTCGCCGCCGAGCGGGAGTGGCTGCACGTCGGCCAGCGAGCTGCCGCGCCGCCTCGCGCGTGCTGCTTCCGCCTGGCCGGCATCTACGGCCCCGGACGCTCCGCACTCGATACGGTGGCGCGAGCGGCGGCGGTGCGGGCCGACAAAGGCGCGGGCGAGGGCGCGGGGGAGGGGGGGGGGGAGGGTGGACCGCCGCCGCCGCCGCCTGTGCGGTACGTCTCCCGCATCCATGTCGAGGACATCTGCGCCGCGCTGCTCGCGTCGATGGTGCAGCCGGCAGGCGCAGCCGACAGCTCCGGCGAGCTGCCTTCTTTCCCTGCCTTCTCTTCCCCTCGCACCGGCGACGCGTGGCAGGCGCCCCCGGCCTCTCTGACGCTCCTCGGAGCACTCCTGCAGGTATCTTCAACCTCGCCGACGACGCGCCGGCGCCTCGCGGCGAGGCACACGCACACACACAACAAACACACACATCTCACTCATGGGCCACTCACCCACGCGCGCTGGGCCTTGCTCTCTGGGTGCCGTTGGGCTCCTGCCTTTGGACGTGGAGTTGCGACGGTTGCCTGGCCTTGCCCCACCACCTCGCGTGAGTGAAGCCCACCTTGCCTTTACCTCACCTTGCCTCTTTACCTCACCATACCTTAGGTCATGGCGCACGCCGCAGCACTACTCGGCGCGCCTCTAGCCGCAGCTGGCGACGCAGACGCAGCAGGCGCGCGATGCGCCGGCTCCGGTCCCCAGGTCCCCGCCCCTGACGTAAAGGCCCCCGGACCCCGAACCCTAGGCGCGGGCGCGAGCCGCCGCGCTCGCCGCCGCGCCGCAGAGCACAAGCGCGTAGACAACGCGCGGATGCGCCGCGTGCTGCTGCCGGGCGGCCTAAGGTACCCGACGTACCGTGAGGGGCTCGCCAAAATTGCGCAGCGCGAGCAGAGGCGCGGGTCGGTTGCGCCGCCGGGGTGACACTTACCGCTCGGGAATTCGTCTCTCTCGATAACCAAAAATCAATCAGGCGGGGAGCCTGTGAGCTGTGTCACGTGTCAGGCCACCCTGCACACATGCTTGTTGGGGATTTTACTTGTGTGCGTCCCCCGTCCCGCGCCAGTGGGATGAAATTCTTTCCAGCACCAAGCATTGAGACCGATGCCCTCGCCCAGCGAGAGTGCCGAGCGAGTCTGCTCTGGCAGTACCGGCCACAGAGCGCAGAGGATAGGACTTAGGACGACAGCATGGCTCGTCGCTCGACGGCAGCCTGCCCAGTATGCTCTTGGCATTCTGTACAGCCTCGCCAGGCTCTCTGAGACGGCCTGCAGGGCCGGCGCGGACCGCCTCGGGCGCGATGGCTCTCCTCAGTACACCTACCTCTTCGAAACGATGCCTGTCGGCTCTCCAATCTCGTCGCGCCGGCGGCAGGCCCGCATGGCGCGCTGCTCGATGGCAGCCTGCTAAGTACGCCTTGGACAGTGACTTCTGCCTCGCTGCTCTTACTGCAGCCGCCTCCGGGGCCGGCGCCGGCCGCCTCGCTTCGCCAGTGCTGTCTACGCCTGCGACACGCGTGTCGGCTCGCAGCCCGCGTCGCCCGCGGCGGGCCCGCATGGCGCGCCGCTCGTCGGGAGCGTGCCCAGCAGGCTGTGCAGGGCAGTCTGCCTCACTCAGGGCGCCGCCGCCGCTGCGCGGGGCCGCCACCGGCGCTGCTGCCGTGAACACTGCCGCCGTGTACGTCACCATCGCCTCTCTACGTCGCCGATCTCGCCGACGCCGCTCGCCGCTCGCCGCCGCCCTGCCCTGCCCCGCCCAGCCCTCGCACAAACAAACCAACACGCACACACACACAGAAACAGACAGACACACATACAGACACACAAAACACCCCCTGCCCCAACCTCGAGCGCCCCGCGCCCTCCCGCCCCACGCCCTGCGCCTCACGCCGCGCGTCCCACGCACGCCCCGCGCGCCCCGCGCCCCCACGCCCCTCACCTCGCGCCTCACGCCTCCCTCCCCACCCTCTCAGGCATTTCTCCCCCCCTGCTGCTCGCCGACTCCTCCTCCCCCCGCATGACCGACGACTACCCGTCCTTCGGCGACTCTCCTCCCTCTTCGGCGCCAACGTCTACTACCCGTTCGCGGCCCGGTGAGGGGCGGGAGAGCAGCCATTCCAACGGCTGGGAAAGTTTCTGAACGGCCGTGCATGCATCTGCATGCCGGACAACTAAGAAGGTCCCTCGCTCCCGCTCCTCTCTCGGAAGACGCGCGCCTGCCGGGGGGACTCGCTTGCGATCCTGTTCCAGCCAGAGGCCGCGAGCTCGGTGTTGAAGTCGATGCATCTGATAGCGACCTCAAGAGCGCATACCACCAGCTTGCGCGTCAATTTCATCCCGACAAGAACCAAGGCAACGCCGAGGCGGAGCGCAAGTTTGCCGACGTGACCTCCGCATACCAGGCGCTCTCGGCGATGCCTGCAGACAAGAGAGCCGCAGCGAAGCGGGCAGCGAAGCGGGAGCGGTCGAAGAAGCACGGGCGGGACCACGGGCGGGATCACGGGCGGGACCACGGGCGGGACCACGGGGCGGCACCGTCACGGGAAGCCGCGCCCGCGGAAGCCGACGTGGGCCAGGGACAGGGGCAGCCGCCGACGCAACCACTCTCGGGTGGGGTGCAGGGACAGGCGGGGCATCCGAACAAGAAAGGCGCCAGCTCGCAGCCCAAAGCGCGCGGCGCTCAGTTCAACTTCCAGGATAGACTCGCTGAGGAGCAGCGGCAGAAACGGCAGGCCGCCGCACCCGAGGCCGAAAGCATGGAGCGTAGCGACGCGGGCGCCGACGGAGCCGATGCAAGGGACAAGCAGGTGCCGCGCCATAAGATCCGCTTGCCACCTGCTCGTCTCGGCATGCCGCCTTGCGCCCCATGGCCATCCCCGGCCGCTTGTGCCCGCCAGAGTTCGCGTCGCCGTGTCTTCTGAGCACTTTCACCACATCTCTCGATCTCACAGCGCCTGACGGGCTTGGAGGGCTTCGAGTGTTGCGTTGGCATCGTCACCGCACTCCTGGCATGCCAGACGCTCTGCCACGGGGTGGTACGCTGCATTTTCAACCCGCCGTGCCTGAATGATGGTGGAATTAGTGAGGAGGGCGTTCAGAAGTGGGGCAGGAAGGACTTCGAAAAGCAGTATGATGCTCACCAACGCGTGTGAGATTTTCGTTTGTGAAAGTGCCGCGTGAACTCCGCGAGCGGTGTGCGGCCACGAAGCTTGTAGCACGCATCTCTTGACTCTTCTCTTCTACCGTTTTCGTTTTTTCCGTCTCCGCGGATATTTGTTTTTTTGAATTGGTTTGTGCAGGAGCACTCCTGTGACTGTGATGCTGTGACCTGTGGTTCCCATGGTGCATGGATCTTCGTTGGATGTGTGCGCGCAGGGGCGCAGCCTGAGAGTGAGACCGTCCGGTGGGCTAGTGCCGTGAACGGTTCGTACAAAAGGGTCACAAAAAGGTCATTCGCGCGATGTAACCCGATGGGGGACGCCGCCGTCCTCGGCCAGGTGCTCGCCGCGCCTCGAGCTGCTCGCGGTGCACGGTCCGCATCATGACCTGTGCACCGCGAGCAGCTCAGCCTGTGCCGACCACATGCCCGAGCTTGGTGGCGCGTCGCGATATCGGGCAGTATTGCTCGATTTTAGCCCCCCGCTACCCGGTTGCACTCGTGCGACGTAGCGGGGGGCCACAACTACGTTTACGAAAACATAAGTAGTCCCGCGAGGTGTGAATTGGCCGCCCCAGTAGCCCCCATTTCCACTGGGGACGCTTTTTCGTGGCAAACCCAAAGTTGCGCTGCGCGCGAAGCCGCTTTTGAAAGCGCGAAACGAATCTCGTCCTACCTCCCACCGGCCCCACCGGCTTTCGTCGCCCATGCTCGGGTTGACTTGAGTGCCGCTCGACTGGCCGATGAAGAGCGACCCGTACGACGCGCACTTGTCGTCCTCCCTCCTCGCCACATGACGGCCGCCCTCCGACACCGACAGTCGCGCTCCGCACGCCTTCGAGGTCAGCTGCGGCCGAGCGACGATCGGCTCGTCTTCTCCGATCGCTGGGCGCGGTCACTCTCCGGCCCATCACCCGCCTGCCGATCACCTGTCCGCCTCGCCGCGCGCGGGCCGCTCGCCTGCTCGCCACCGCCGCCGCGTTTCCCCGCGCCGCCACGCTTCCCTGTGCACCTGACCGCGCTCGAGCCGCCGCGTTTCCCCGCGCCGCCACGCTTCCCTGTGCACCTGACCGCGCTCGAGCTGCGCACAGACGGCGCGCTCTGGCAGACAGAGCAGCGGCCGCCCAGGCGGTCGCTGCTCCGCCCAGTCCGAATCCGTCCGCCCGCGCGTGCCGCTGCCGCCGCCGCCGCCACCACCGCGCCGCGCTTCCCCGCGCCGCCACGCTTCCCTGCACCTGACCGCGCTCGAGCTGCGCAGGCAGACGGCGCGCTCTGGCAGACAGAGCAGCGGCCGCCTGGGCGGCTGCTGCTCCGCCCCGTCCGAATCCGTCCGCCCGCGCGTGCTGCTGCCGCCGCCGCCGCCGCTCCACCCGGTTGCCGTGTGTCGTGAGAGTTTGCTTTGTGCATGTGTATGTCGAATGTGTGTGGACTTATGTCACACTTGAGCCTCTATCTATGATTAGTAGACCGGTACTCGGGTTTGGATGGTAGCGGGGGGCCCCGCCGGAGGCTGGTTACTGATCCGCTGGGCGCCAGCGTCGCGGACAGAGGGACACACAGGGCTGGGGAGGGGCTGCAGATGACCGGGGGCACCCACTGGGCAGACCCCATATGCAAAAAACCCCGCATCCTTGCTGTATGTTGCGCGCTTGCATCGTGATTTCGCGGCCGACGCATGGTCGGTATGCGTTCGGTGTCTGTGCTGTAGGTGCCTGTCGGGGTGTGTGCGTCGTGTGCGTAGGGGATCCGTAAGGATGTGCCCGCAAGGCGCACCTAGAGAGAGTAAGTGGCGTTCCGTAGCGCCATTTATTAATACAAACAAAGGACGGCTAGGACTCGCGTCCGTCCATGGTCCCACGCAACCAGGGCCCCTTTTTTTGTTTTTTGGGGATGCATGTTTTGATACCATGGCTCCTCCCGACGTGCCGCTCGCACTGCAGGTGCTCACTTCCCCACTACAGCACGACCTCGTAGCGGCGGCCTACGACGGCTGGCTGAGGTTTCTGCCCGATGAACGCCAGCTCGTCATCGTTTCCGAGGAGAAGGATCACTATGGCCGCTTTCCAGTGCTGCGTGCCAGCTCGAAGCTGCTCTTCAACAAGACGCGGTTGGCCTGGGACGTGCTTCTCCAACGAGCGCCGGCGAGCGTTACTTGGTTCGGGCGCCTCGATGGCGACGCCGTACTGGACGTGCTGCGTCTCTGTAGGATGCTCAACAGCGCGCTTAATTTGACATCGGACGTGCATGGAAATGACGACAAGAACAGCCGTCGCGTATACACCGGGCCTGAGTGCGTTGGGACACCTGAACCAGATGCGAAGCCCCGTGGCTGTGGGGAAAGCATTGACTGCTTCAGGCTCAACCAGTCGACGAGAAAGTACGTTGGCACTGGGACGGGCATGTACCTCAACCGCCTCGCGCTCAATGACTACACGAAAGGCATGAACCAGTGCCCTGACTTCGCCATACGTCGTTCCGGCTGGGGTGGCACGCGCGGAACGGGCGAGGACCTTGCAACGGGACAGTGCCTTGGGTCCATGGGCATCGACGTAGCGTGTTGGGGGAGCTTGAAGCTCCAGAGCCATGGCGTCTACCACCAGATATGGGGCCGTGGCCGTTGCCCGACGAACTCAAACCGGACCCGTTGCCCGACCGGACTCAAACAGGTGGAACCAGGCTTCCTGGTAGTTCACGGCGTCAAGGAGGTCACGTGGCACGCCCCACTTTTTAAGATGCTGCGCGCTGCCTGGCCGCAAGCGAAGCTGCGACCAGCGTCATCGTCATCTGCGAAGAGCCGCCTGCCTGCTCGTCAAGCGGGTCGCGGGGGGACCAGACGGGCGAGTGAGTGGAGGGTGGCGTCGGCGCGCCGTGAACGACGACCACCGTGAAAGGTCCGGCTGCGGTGTCGGCCGCACCGGGCTGCGCCACCAATCAAGCCATGCGCCGGGTTTCGGCCTGCAGCTGCGGTTCGCGTCGGACGCAACGCAGCAGCTCGTACTGAATGCGAGCGAGCGAGGCCGTCGACATCGGTCGGTCGGTCGCGGTCCGCGGGGTACACGACGCGCTCGGCGTGCGCCGTTCGCCGGCGCCGTCGTGAAACCGTTCGATGGCGCGCGCACGCGCGCGCGCGCGCGTGGGGGGGGTTAGGTAGGTAATAGAAGGCCCGCAGGCCGCTTTGAGGGCAGGTAGGCAGGGGGATAGGGTAGGTAATAGCGTGTCGATTTGGAGGCTTATCTCCCACTTGGATTACCTCACTCAGAACGTGAGGCGTGTGGGGCGGTGCACGCTGGGGCTCGGCCCCAAGTGCGCTGGCCTCGCGTCTCGAGGGGAGGGCGGCTCGTAACTGAGGTCCGCCGTCAGAGACAGTCGTCCTCCCCTCAACCCGACGAGAGTGCGCGGGCAGTCCCCGTGGCTGCAGTCGCGCTTCCGAGCCGACTCCGCCCCTCTCTCCACCCGGCCATTCCAACGGCCAGGCCGCTCGCTTAAGGCTGATTGGCTAGACGAGTGGCCTACCTCCATGGGGCTGTTGGCACGGGGGGGGGTGTCAATCACGCTCCCGCGGGACGCCGGAGAGATCGGGTTGGTCTCCCCCGCCTTCAGCCCTGACCCGACGGGGACGCCATCACCCTCGCCCAGGGATCTACAACGCTGTCTTAAGGTCTGACCTGTGGGCTCTGCCTGCGCTCGGCACCGGGCACCGCCAGAGTATACAAAATGCGCCTGCGGGCGGACCCTCACAGATCACAGATCGCTCACACACACACGGCACAACCTTGGTCGCCTCCAGGCCATCTGCTGAGGCCATCCTCTCCGACCTTATCGTGTTGCTTCCGGCCATCCTCAAAGCATGATGGCAGAGCCGAAGAGTTTGTCCATCATGCGCGACGTGGACGCGCCATGTAGCCCCGTGGACGCGCCATGTAGCCCCGCCTCGAACAACTGTGCGCCGACTGACTGCCTCGTAACGCTCACCGACTGCCTCGTGCCGTGCCTCTCGACGGCAGGGTGTGTGGTCTGCGGGCCGTGGTGTGTCGCGCCGTGCTCGACGCTTTGCCGCACGGCCACGTGCGGGTGCAGCGACGGCTGCTGCCTGAGAGCCATCCGCTGCCAGGACGGCTGCCAAAACCGACTGGCGAGCTATCGGTATCAGTATTGCCCTTCGGACGCGAACGGCCTGCCTTCGTGCTGCGTATGCCCTTGCGGGCCGTGTGCCTGCTGCCTCTCGTGCACAGTCTTCCTGCTCGGACAGTTGGACGCTGTCTCGATCGCGGACCCGGAGATCGACCGGCAGCGCTGGTTTGGTGACACGTTTTGGATCGGCGGCAAACTGGCGGTTGCGAGCACGGCCGAGGTGCATCGGCGGCTGCTTGGACCGATGGACCGGGGCTTCTACATCGGCAAGCCAAACGTGCGGCCAACTGCGATGAGCCCGTCCTACCCGGGAGAGCGGCTCTTTCCCCTCGCGCTCGCGTCCGGCGATGGCGCACCGGGAAACAATGGCGCCTGCCTCGCCCACCCACGCCCACGACACGCCCACGACACATTTCACGACGCGTCCACGACGCGTCCCCAGGTGCGCACGCCTCGTTCCGAAAGCAGTTCTTCCGCTACCTGATGAACGACGGCACGCGCGCCCGCGCCGCGCCGACCGAGCCGCTCGTCGCAGCGGCGCTCCAGGCGGTGCGGGCGGCGGCGGCCGAGAGCGGAGGCGAGATGAGCGCGGCGCTGAGGGCGGCGACGCAGCTGTACATGGCACGCACCATCTTTTGGGCCGTCTTCCAGGTCAGACGCCTCCTAGACACTTCGCAGACACTTCGCAGACACATCCGAGACGGCTGCCGGTCCGCCTCTTGCAGGCCGGCCTCGGCACGGAGAGCTCGGGTCATCTCGGGGTCATCTCGGGTCATCTCGGGGTCATCTCGGGCCTATCTCAGGCCTATCTCGGGCTCGTCTCGGGCTCATCTCCCCTCAGGTCGACCTCGGCCCGGAGAGCTCAGTCGAGTGCCGCGCAGCGATTTGGGCGATGAGCGTGATCAACGCAGTCGTCCTGCCGTACATTGTCGGCTTGCAGAGCGCTCCGCAGCTCGTGGCCCCAGATGCGGAACATCTCTCCCCCTCTCTCCCCAGATCTTGGGCCCCAGATGGGGAGTGAAGACCCGGGTACCCGAGTACTAGTGCTCGAGACGAGGCACGCCTTCCGCTGTATCCAGCTGTATTGAGTCGCCCTGTGCTAGCGCGGTGCTCTGAGTACCCCGCGCGACACCTCTCGCCCTGACTACTCTGGTGTGCCCCCAGGCTCGAGACGCTGCACGCGCTCATGCTTGGCTGCCCGGCCCTGGCAGAGTACGAGGCGGAGCTGGCGCTGCCCATGGAGGCGACCCGGGGAGGCAGGGAGAGAGGAGGCGGCTCGTGAGCAGGTGGACCCCGCGCTGCCAATGTGCCCCGACAAGGGCCGCTTCGTCGACCAAGTGCTGCCCGTGGTCTACATCGCCGCGCTGCAGGGCGTGCCTTCCCTCGCGGCAGCGCTACTCGCCGACTCGCACGGCGAGAAGGCGAGATCACCCGAGATCACCCGAGATCACCCGAGATCGCCCGAGATCACGAGAGGGGGGGGGGAGAGGTCGTATCCTGCTCACCGACTCGCACGGCGACAAGGCGGCGCGCGTCGACGGCGGGGCGGCGGCGGACGGCGGCTGCCCGCACGCAGACAGCTGGCGCGCTGGTGGCCTGCCGTTCGCGGACAGCTGGCGCAAGGGCCTGCCGCGTGACTTCGCGCTGCCCTTTGGCGACCGCGATCGGATGCGGCTCGTCGTGCTCGAGACGGCGCGTGCCGACGCTCCTCACACGCCCCGGCGCCTGCCAGCAGCGAGACACGGGGCAACCTCGCCAGTGACTCCTCTGCTCTCTCTCTCTCTCTCTCTCTCTCTCTCTCTCTCTCTCTCTCTCTCTCTCTCTCTCTCTCTCTCTCTCTCTCTCTCTCTCTCTCTCTCTCTCTCTCTCTCTCTCTCTCTCTCTCTCTCTCTCTCTCTCTCTCTCTCTCTCTCTCTCTCTCTCTCTCTCTCTCTCTCTCTCTCTCTCTCTCTCTCTCTCTCTCTCTCTCTCTCTCTCTCCGAGGGGCAGACCATTTGGTAGACCAGTCTGACCGGAGTCCACCGCAGTCTACTGGTAGACGAGACGGGCCACCACTCACCTCTCTCTCCCCCCCTCCCTCCTCCTTCAGGCGCGGCTCAACCCGCCCGTCCCCGAGGAAGTGTCTCGGACGTGTCTCGGAAGTGTCTAGGCGCGGCTCAATCCGCCGGTCCCCGAGACCGTCGCTGTCTCGTGCGAGCCCGAGGAGCCTCGGATCAACAGCTCGCAAAGAGGCGCCGTTCACAGGAGTGTGCCGTGAACAGGTACGAGCCCGAGGAGTTTCAGATCGGAGGCCTCGGCAGGCGCGACAGACAGAGCGACAGAGCGACAGGGAGACCGAGAGACAGGAAGACCGAGCCCTTCATACTGCCCCGCACGCTCTCCCACGGCTCTCTTGAGCTCTCTTGACACGCCCGGTTTCGACATAAGGCGGGCGTTCCCGCCGGGCTGCCCCGTCCTCCTCTCTTACGCCAACGTCGCGCTCGACGAGGCTGTCTACCCTCGGCCGCGCACCTTTGCGCCGTACGAGCGCGCGTCCGCGCTGTGGGGGCCGGAGGCGAGCTTCGTCGGCTACAACGGCGTCGGCGACCGCGGCGACCGCCTTTGCCCGGGGCGCGACCTGAGCATCGACATCCTGATCAACCTGCTCGAGGCGGTGCGAGGGCCGGCGGCATAACGTTGCTGTAGTAGGGTGATTGCATGAAATCCCAACCAGTGCGCCAGGAGCGCAACGCGTATACTAGTTACTACGATGTGTTGGGTTGTTGCAAGTCTTGAGTACTGCGGGTGCGGCGCGCGGTCCGGCGGCGGCGCGTTTGCGGTTGTGCCTTTTCGCCGGTGCTTCTGGCGGTGACGGTGTTCACATTCAGCGCGTGTATTTCCACATGTCTGTAGGAGTAAATGTACACGTATACGTGGGCCGAGCACAGAGTGTCGGGGGCACTGCAGATATCATGCCCCCTCGCGTCACACTGACTGTGTCTCAGAGTCGCAGTCACACACACCACTCACAACACAGCACCGTGCAACGCGAGAGGCCCGGTCTGTCGGCGAGCCGGCATGGACCATGGTGCCACAATCATGGAGACATGCCGAAGACATGCTGCAATGCCCCGCGCGCCCCTTTGCGCATGCTGCCACCGCAAGAAGAGCAAAGCCTTGCCCACGTGGGCCACAACGGCCACACACGACACACCACTGCCAACTTCACGCCCCGCCCTCGCCCCGCCCTCTGG